GATCCAAGCCCACAAGGTGTGAAAATGGGAATCTGTTGTTTGGCCAGGTCCCAGCTCCTCCCTGGGCAGGGCAGGGTGATGGCTCCTGCCTGCACCTCGTCCCCCAGAAGCCCACCCTGGGCACAGGTGGAGGGGTGCAGGGGCTTGGTCTATCCCTTGGTGGCTCCTGGGGACCAAGCTTCAGTGGGGTCTGTGGGCAGCTGGGGCAGTTCCTAGCCTGGTGTCTGCACTGGCCATGCCCGTGGTCACTGGTGGAGCTCGGTCACTGGAGCTCGGTCCGCAGGGGCAGTGCCCAGCTCCCTGCCTGGATGCTGCTCTCCATCCCCTCCTGGCCCAGGGGCAGGGGCTCCCCTCGGGTTCTGCCCCCCCCCGCCTTGCTTCCCAGAGCCCGCGGATGTAAAGAAACCGTTTTCCTGCTCCTCCTCCCCTGTGCAGCCTCCCGGGTGCCCACGCACCAGCTGGACCCCACCACGCTGCTCCCACCGCCCCAGCCTGTGCTGCCTGCACCTCCCTGCCTTCACCGGCAGGGCCGAGCCAGGCCAGCAGGAGCAGCCCCGTCCCCCTTCGTTACCTGTGCCAGGCTCAGAGCTGGTGTTCACCTGCCTGGTGAGAACCTGTGAGCTGCTCCTCTAACAGAGATCTACCTCTGAGCCCTGCAGGACCAACCACTGCTGTGGGCATCCCCTCCAGGGCACCCACCACCCAGCTGAACCCCATCCCTGTGCTTTCCTCTGGCTCCTGGCAGGAGCAGAACTTCCTTGGGAAAGGGTTCAGGGGCAGAGCCGAGGTCCAGAGCCAAAGCCAGGTTGGACACAGGGGCTTGGAGCAAGCTGCTCTAGTGGAAGGTGTCCCTGCCCATGGCAGGGGTTGGAACTGGATGAGCTTTAAGGTCCCTTCCAACACAAACCAGTCTGGCATTCTGAGTTTATTACTGGGAAGCAGCAGCATGTCCAGTGTTTGATGGCTTGGGGGCAGCAGGCTGAACACTGCACCGAGCAGTGGCAGGTCTGCTCCTCACCAACTGCACAACCTCAGTGGTGTCTGTCCATCCATCTGTCCATCTGTCCCTCCTCCAGTCCCCAGCCCCAAGGGGCTCCATACATGGCCCATTACCATGTTTCTCATGGATCTGAAGGACATTATGATGTAATGAGGGACAGAAAGGTGTCTGTGAGAGCTAGAAGCTGGTGAGGGAAGCTAAGGGATAGAGGAGCTCCCTGGATCTTGGGAAAAAGGGAAAGAGTGAGGGTTTCTCCCCAGCATCAGTAAAGAAGAGGCTACTGGGGCAATAGAGCATTGCCAAGGAGAACCGGGGATGGTGGTTGTTCACAGTTGTCCTCAAATCCCTGCTGGGATAGAACAGTAGCTACCCCAGGATGATGCCAAAACACCACAATCCCCACAGGTACCAGGACTTCCCCTGGTCATGAGTACAGGCAGCATCAACACAGCTGGTAGCACTTGGGATGCTCAGAGGCACCTCAGAATCCACTGCAGGCTGATGGTGGGAGAAACGAGCATTTGGGCAGTATTTTAAAGGAGGGAGTAGAACATCCTTGTCTGTGGCTTAGCCAAATGCAGAGTGGGAAGAAGCACGAGTGGGGCCCGGCTCAGCCGAGAGCTGTGGGGTTTATGCCAGGCCAAATACACGAACCAGGTCCTGTGACCCCGAGGAAGCCGCGTTGCGCTGGAGCCGATGCACGGGTTGGTAGCAGGAAAGCTGCTGCCAGGACCGGCTTCCGCAAGACTTCCTCTCCCATGGCCCTTCGTTAGGGAATTGGGACGTAACGAGACGAGAGCAGTGGAGAGGAAACAAGCGCCCCGAGAGCCGCCGCTGGGCCCGGGTCGGGGGCTCTGCTCCCCCTCTGCTCTCATTAGGGAGCGGGAAGGAAACGCAGGCTCCAGGCTTGGGAAAGCCTCACAGCACGGATGCATGGAGCAGCCTGGCCAAGGGGACAGCAGACCTGGCCATGGAGCAGCTGAGCCGTGGGGCTGGTGGCAGGGAAGGGGAGTGAGTGTGGGGCTGGGGTGCAGTGAGAGCAGGGACAGGGGGCAGCAGCACTTGGGCTCCACAGCAGCACGATGGAGGGTTGGCCAAAGAGGCGATGGGCTTGGCACAGGGCATGAGGATAGATCTACATAGGATCAGAATCACAGAATGGTTTCAGGTGGAGGAACCTTCAAATCTCATCCAGTCCAACCCCCTGCAATGAGCAGCGACATCTTCAACTTGTTCAAGTTGCCAGAACCACACCCAGCCTGGCCTTGAATGTGTCCAGGGGTGGTGCATCCACCACCACTCTGGGCAACCTGTGCCAGTGTTCTACCACCCTCACTGCAAAACATTTCTTCCTCACATCCAGCCTGAGCCTCCCCTCTTTTAGTTTAAAACCATTACCACATGTCCTGATAAAAAGTTCCTTCCCAGATTTTTTTGTAGCCCCTTTAGGCGCTGGGAGCTGCTCTAAGCTCTCCCTGGAGCCTTCTCCAGCCTCAGCACCTCCAGCGGTTCAGCACCCATCGCAGCCATGGGCACTGCAGGAGCCATGGGGCTGATCCCCGCAGAGGATGGGGCTTTGCTCAGAGCCCTTGCCTCAAGAAGCACCCTCCCACCCCGGCGGGCTGGAGGGGGGTGCTGCAGGATGTTGCTGTATCCAACAACCCCCGGGACCGCGTGGCCTTTGGCCCTCCGGGCTCCAGCCGGGATGCGGCCGGCGCCGTGTGTCAGCTCCAGCTCTAACGTACTGGCAACCGGCTGGGGGAAAGGCTGGAACAGCCCCAGCAGCTCTGGCCACGCTGCCCCCTTCTCCAGCCATTGAGGAGGCTGATCCCCCCCGTGCCCCGTCTCCATTACCCCAAGCCGTGCCGGTGTTCCCAAGCTGAGCAGCAGGAACCCCTGCCCACCGACCCCAGCTCCCGTCCCCCCGCGGGCAGGGGCAGCGCTTCAGACCTCCGCTATTTTTAATTGCTGTTTCCCAGAAAGGCCGGGGCAGGCTCCGGAGGCGCTTCCAGCCGGGAGCCGGGAAAGCTGGTTCCAGTTAGGCGCCCGCCGCGCTCCCCCCTGGTATTTTTAGCAGGGCTGAAGGCAACGGCCCCGCTCCCGGGTGCCGCGGGGCTCCGGCACCGGCCCTCGCCGGACCCTTGGCCGGGGACGTCTCGGCTGCGTGACTTTATGGCAGCCGGGGGTGTTTGCGCTGGGCTGTTTGGGCAGGACGGGGCTTTCATCTGCGCGCGTCCCGCTGGGCAGCAGGAAGCGCAGAGGGGAGGATGTGAGCGCTGGGCATCCCCGAAGGGCCGCGGCGCGGAGCGGCGGCTCTGGGTTTAATTAAAAGCCATCCGCTGGCAGGGGCGGGAGCGGGGCCTGGGCTTGGACAGGGACAGCAGGGAATGACTCCATGGGAGCGCCGGCACCGCGGCACTGCCTGCGCCTTCTGCCCCACGGCTGGGTTCTGCCCCACGGCCGGGTTGTGCTCCACGGCCTGGCTCTGCTGCATCCTGCCTCATCCCCTCTCCCCAGGGTTCCCCCCAAGCCGCAGCTCTGCTGTTCTCAGGTCACCCCATCGATGGCTGTGCCCTCATGGGGAGCCCTCCCCATGCCCAGCCTCAACGAGGTGCCCCCAGCTTGGGGGGCAGAGGGCTGGGCCCACACCTCAGCTGCCCTATCCCCAGAGAGGGCACCCCAAGAGAACACAAGTTCCCAGCTGCCTGCCATGGGTCTTGCCTCCACTGTGACCCCCATCCCTCTGCTATGGGGATAACCCCATCATGGTGAACCCTAGCTCTCTTCCATGGGTTCACCCTGTTGATGTGACTCCTAACCCTCTTCCATGGGGCTCCCATTGATGTGACCCTCCCCACCCCTCATCCATGAGGCTCATCCCACCACTATGACCTCAATCCTGCTCTATATAGGGCTCACCCCTCTGCCACAACACCATCTTTCCATCATGGGTCTCACCCCATATCTCACATCTCCTCTGGCATAGATTTTAATCTCCACAGCATAACCCCCCCGATCCCGCTCCGCATCTCCTCACAATAGCCACTTCTCATCAGCTGTATTTTCACCCTATTATTCACTGTGTTGGCCTTCCCAGCCCTGCTGCCCCCAATCCTGCATCAGCCACATCCATCCATCCATCCATCCATCCATCCATCCATCCATCCATCCACCCATCCGGCTTTGCCAGCATTTCAGCTTCAGCCTCCCCTCAGGATTCCTAAACCTGATAAGGGAGGGGGGGTGGATGTGTGTGTGCTGCTTTCAAAGGAGCCGGGTTGACCTTTGCCGCTGCAACGAGAGCCGCATGGAGGGGAAAAAAGATTGGCTGCAGTGGGAGAGGGGGAGCGGGGAGCTGCTGTGGTTTTACAATCCCTAAATAACGCCGGGAGCTGAGCTGTAAACACATGGCAGTGCTGCCGGAGCGTGTCCATGCCCCCCGCTTGAAACCCCGCTCAGAAAACGCTGCGACCTTAAGGAGGAGAAGAAATGAAGAGAAGAAAACAGCTTTTCTCGGGGAAAAAAAACACAAGGAATCTCCTGAATTATTTAGCAAACGGTTCCAATAGGACGCGGCTCCGCGGCAGACGCCGGCTGCCGGAGCCTGGCCTTGCTTGGAAGATGCCTATCGCTGGGGCCACCGGCGCCACCGCAGCAAAGGGATGAGCAGGGTCCCTGCCCCACTGTCACCCCGAGGGTCGTTGTCACACCCCGATGGACACCAGTGGAAGGGGACATGTTCCCATGCTCAGCCCCTCTGCAATGAGGGGACGTGGGGAGGAGAAACCCACTGGGGCGGTTCTGCCACACTTCATCACCTGCAAAGTCACAGCCCGAACCTTACCTCCTCCTGCAGCCTCAAAGAGTCACCTCTCCCCAGCTCCCTGCTGCATCCCAGCTTCCCCCCTTCCCTTCTCACCTTTGTCTTCCCAATTACGTACTTTTTGGAAGCAACCTCCACTTTGCTTTGCAGAGCAGCAGACGAGCGCAACCCTCCCTGTGCCTTTTATGATGCTCAGTTTATTGCCTGGCTGCGCAATTGCCATTTTAATGATGGCCTCTCCCACGGCTTTAATGCACCTCCAGTGCTGGCATTAAAACAAGGGGGGGCGGGGGGGGGCGGACACTGGCCCTGGTCTTCAGGAGAATAAACTCCAGCCCCTTTCCTGGTCCTTGCACGAAGTTTTGCCAAATGGATAAGGTGGTTTCTGGTTCCGAAGCGGCGGCGCTGTGCTCTGTTTGGTAACGGAGGCCCTCTGCTGGCACTGGGCTGGCCATGGAGCCACCGCCGAGGCAGGGAGACACATCCAGCAAGTGGTACCTGGGGACTCAAGTCTGGAGAACCACCTCCAGCGAGCCCTGCATGGAGAACTGTGCCCTAAGAGCCAAGCCTGGAGAGCCGCGTCCATCAGGCCCAGGGAACCGAGCCTGGAGAGATCATAGAGATAAGCACAGGGAACTGAAACCGAGAGACTGGGAAATTGAGTATGGAGAACTGAGCTCAGCAACATGGGCCCATGGAGCCACAATCAGAGACCTGGGCATGGAGAGATGTACGTGACCAGCCTGGGCAAATGAGCCATCTCCAGTCCTGCTGCATCCAAAGGTGAGTCCCATCCCTGCTGCCTGCGCTGCTCCACCAGCAAGGCCAGTGGCTGTGATCAGTGCTGTGCAAAGCCAGTGGAAGCATCCCAGCCTTTCACCTGCAGATATCCCAAGGTTGGGAAAAAAACACCATGCATCTGCTCTGGGGAATGGGTTGGGTAGGAAGCTGGAGGGGGTGATGGCAGCTTCACCATGGGACAGTTCCCACCTCATCCTAGATGATGCTGGACTCCTCTGGGCACGGAGTCCAGGGCTGACAGCTCCAGTGCTGAGACCCACATGGTTCTGCTCAGCTTTTTGGAAAGACATTTTGGTCCCTGGCTGGGGGGAACCTGCACCCTGCCAGAGGATAAGGGCAGGCCTGAGGCTGGTGATGGGCAGCACAGGCAGGGACCTCAGCTGAGGACATCTGCTTTTGTCAGCAGATTCTTCCTTAGCTTCTGTTTCACCAGTGCCTGGAGCCTGGCCTGGGTTATCAGGGAGATATTAAATTGCTGTTGGAAGCAACACCAGCGAGGCTGAGAAGCCGTGTGTGCTCTTACCTCTTCCCACAAGGTCGAGTCAGCCCCGAGGGACGACGTGTTTGCCGCGTCCTTCCTGTCACCAGGATCACATGTCGGAGCCGAACCCAGCCCTGAGAACATTAAACCCGTGAGCTCGCCTCCCTCCTGAGCACAGGCGCCTCCCGGCCCCAGGGTCCCCCAGCCCAACCGGGGGAACCCAGCAGTGGTGCCAGTGCTGGAGGGATGCCCACCTCCCCCACAGATGGTGTCCATGTGGATGGGATGGAGGAGCTTGGAACCCCAGGGTGCAGCACTGTGTGATGGGGAAGGACCTCCCCATAGGAAGAAGCCACCAGCACTGGCAGGACATGGCCAGCAAAACACTCTGAAGGCCTTCAGCCACATCTCTTCCTGTGACCCAAGTTCTTGCTTAGACAAAGGGATGAACAGACACACGGGCAGCCACATCTTGTCCATTGCTCACCCTAGGAGATGACCAGGCACATGGGCTGGGTTTCTTCCAGGGCAAGGTGAGTCCCGCTGCATCATCCCTCTGTGGCACAGGGTGCAGACAATGGACAGGCTGTGGTTCTATGATCCCTGGGGCACAGGGTTTCATTGCACCCGTGGGCACAGCCCCGGGGAGCCCCCCAAACTTCCTCTCCCTGCAGCACAGGGACCCACACACATGCCCAGGCCCAGCAGCCATCTCCAAGCCCCCCTGGGGACCACAGGGGCCATAACCAGCCCCGTCTCAGAGCCCTAAGCAGGGTCTGAGGGGCAGCAGGATGCAGGGATGCTCCAGCAGCAGCTGCCGGTGGATGCCGTTGGGCCAGGAGCAGCCAGGCTTTAATTCCAGCCCTGCCCAGTGGAAAACCCCCACCAGAACCAAGCCCATCACAAGCTGGCTGCAGCCAAGAGAGGCGGCAGATAAGAGGCTGGAGCCAGCGCCGAGGCCTCACGGAGATGAAAGGCGGGAGCCGGCCCATCCCCTGCGGACAAAGGAGCTCCTAAAATATTAACGAGGCCCCGTGGCGGCGGGTCCGGCCGTTCCCGCGGGATGCGGGCGCGGCGGGGAGCAGCGCAGGATGCTCATTAATCACGGGCGCTGCCAAACCGGCACCCCGGGAGCTGCAGCGGCTCCAGCCACCGGGGACACCGCCGCCTTCCCACCGAGCCGCGGGGAAGAGCGAGGAGCAGGGGGAGCCGCTGGGGAAGGGGGCCCCTCGCTGCCACCTCGGGTACAGCCTGGAGCACCTCGGGGTGAGCCTGGGGGAAAGCCGGGCAGCTCCACGGTGGGGCATGGAGCAGGGGGGGGCACTGCTTGGGTCTGCGTGGGGTTGATGCAGGCCCCAGGCTGGGGACAGGGTCCCTGCGATGGGGAGCGGCGTGTCCTATGGGAACAGCACAGCCCCAGGGCCACACACACCCTGTGCCCGGCCATCCACACTTACGGGGGATGCACTCGCCTCCTGACCAGTTCCTGGTGCTGGGGACCATAGTGCACACTGGTTAGCCTGGGGATCCTGCCCTGCTGGCTGAGGTGGCTGCTCCAGCAGCTGGGCACACCTCTGTCCCCCCCATCCCCATCCCTGCATCCCCCCTGCAAGCAGCCCAAGCCAGCCACAGACCCGGCTCCATCCCCAGCCCTGGCTTTGTATCTCCTGCCTGGGGAGCACTGATGCTCTCAGGGCACCGTGATACCAGCAGCTGGACCCAGCGCCCTATGGACTCAAGGTGAGCCGTGACCCAGTGGCACAACCACCCCTCCAACCTGCCACAGCCAACCCCTTCTCTTCCCACTCCATGGCCCAGCCTGGGCAGAGCAAAGGCCTTTTGTCAGAGGATGTCAGGCTTCTTCCCGCAGGCAAGGGTGATGTTTCTGCTGCTCCAAACCTGCCCCTGGGTGCTAGAGGGGAGGAGGAGTGAGATAATAACAGCTCGGTGGCCAGGTCCGGAAGCAGGTCCGCACGCAGCCGTCAGATGGGATTTGCATAGCACAGATGGCAGCCCAGGAATTTCAAAGCATCCCCCATGCTGCAGCAGCTGAAGGGCTCAGTAGCCCCATGCAGCTGCCAGAGCGAGCTGAGCTGCCCCAGCACCCAGGAATAGGCAGCCAAGTGGAGGACACAGGGCATGCATGGGCACGGGCACAGCATCCTCCCACCACACCCCAGTGCTGCTTCCTATGATCCAGGGTGGGCAGGAGGCCCATGGCGGATAGCAATGGGGATGTAGCAATGCAGGGGGATGTTGGGGCTCCAGCACCCAGCAGTGAGGAGCTGCAGGGAAGGGCTCCACCGAGGGCTGGAGGGCATGACATGTGAGAGACAGCGGGAGCTAAATTTACACCACCACGAAGCGAGCTGCCTCCAAGGAGACGTGATCACAGGCTATAAATACCTGCAAGGAAACAACGGGGACAGAGGCGGTGAATTATTCACAGGCACAAGATGGCAGGACATGGAGCAAGCCAAGCTGGGGAGGGGGGGAGCTGGTGCCATGGGGGAACCCTGAGCCATAAGGGGACCAGGGCCAAGCTGATGCATGTGCCAGGAGCCAGCAGCTCTGCAATGTGAGGGCCATGGGAGGATGCAGGACCCCTGCTGCACTCCAGCCTGGTGCTGCAGACCTCAAGCAGATGGTTCATCCATGACACTCCTCAGCACCAGCACCAGGCTGGCCAGGCTGGGGGTGCTCCTGCCAAAAGCAGAATGATGAGCAAGTCCAGCATCCCACATCCTGGTGCTGGCTCTGCAAGAGAGAGCTGCAATGAGGTGATGTCCAATGTCCCCTGCACCAGGGGCACCCCATGGCCACCCCTGCGTCACTCGGTGGGTTCTGCAGAAGGTGCTGAGCAGTCAGGGCAGCAGGACAAGCTCTCTGCATCCCCAGAGCACACCTGGAAGAGGAGGATTTGAGGCAGTGGAGCATCACAGAGCGCATCTGCTCATAGAGGAGGAGAGGACTGGCATACCTAATAACAACAACAGCAGCTAATGATAACACCACTGTCGCAGCAGCTCCCAACAGGAGGGTGCTGCATCCGCTGCCCCGCTGCCCGCCAGGGGTAACCCGGCAGCTCCTTCCCCGGCCTCTGCTGCCCTCCCCTGGCGGCACCGAGAGCTGCGCTCTGGGACAGCCCCGGGGAACGCCGCTGGTGGGGGGGATTCCTGGTGTCACAGAGCCATGGGATGGTTTGTGCCGCAAGGGACATTAAAGCTCACCCAGTCCCAACCCCTGCCACAGGCAGGGACACCTTCCACTAGAGGGTGGAAGGTGCTGCTTGGGGCTGCTTGGGGCAGCTTGCCCCAAGCCCCTGTGTCCAACCTGGCCTTGAACACTGCCAGGGATGGGGCAGCCACAGCTTCTCTGGGCACCCTGTGCCAGCGCCTCAGCACCCTCACAGGGAAGAGCTTCTGCCTAAGAGCTCATCTCAGTCTCCCCTCTGGCAGGTTAAAGCCATTCCCCTTGGCCTGTCCCTACAGGCCCTTGTCCAAAGCCCCTCTCCAGGTTTCTCGTTGGCCCCTTCAGGCACTGGGAGCTGCCTAAGGAGAAGGGGAGATGCTGGAGCACCCAGTCCTAGCAGCTCCCTGAAGCAGGGCTGCTGGGGGTGCTGCTCTGAGCAGGGATGTGGCACTCGGGGGCTGTCCTGTGGGGAGGCTGCTTCCAGCCCCTTGAGTTCGGGGAAGTCATGGGGTAAAAATGCCCCTGGAGCTGTGCCACTGGGGAAGCAGGGAGGTGTGAACATAGGAAAAGCAGCTTGGCCCTCCCAGTGGATGGGGCATTTATCACTTGGGTGTGAGGTGTTGGGCCAGATTTGAGCTTTCCAGCTGTGAGTGAAGCTGGGCACAAAGGGACTCCCAAGTGGTCGGGTGGGTGCTGAGAGCAGGGGGAGGAGAGACAAGGCTGGGGGACAGCAGGGAGGGCTGGCAAAGGCACCAGTGAGCCCAATGCACAGCCTCGGGTGGGTGACAGAAACGGTCCAAACATGGCTGTAGAGACCATGGAAGTGCTGCAAGGGCTGGAGCAGCTCTGCTCTGGAGCCAGGCTGAGAGAGCTGGGCTGGGTCAGCCTGGAGAAGAGAAGGCTCCTGAAGGGGAGACCTCAGAGCAGCTCCAGTGCCTAAAGGGGCTGCAGGAAACCTGGAGAGGGGCTTTGGACAAGGGCCTGTAGGGACAGGCCAAGGGGAATGGCTTTAACCTGCCAGAGGGGAGACTGAGATAGGATCTTTCATCATTTAAACACCAAGTTTCTGTTTACCTGTTGTACATCATCTCAGACTGCTGCATTTGAATAGTCAACCCCACAATAAAATAAAATCCTCTTACAAAGACTGTTGTCCTATGAAATGTCCTGTGTGGATTTGGAGAAATTACTACAGCTTTTTCATCAGCATTTTCCAGGAAGGAATTGCAAGTTGAAGCAGCAAGTACCTTATATTGGTATTTCAGGTTACAACAGGACAACACTTACATGGAGCTTTATACAAGTGATAAATCCATCACTAACTCAGCAACACCAAACACAGCACATGGCGCTGGTGGCTCACCAGGGACTGAGGTGCCACATCTGGGCTATGCATGAAACCTTTATCTCTGCAGCCAAGCTGCCACTCACACCTTAGACACAGCAAACAGTTCGAGTGCACCCCGGAGCAGGCTGTCACCCACCGCTCCGCATCACCCTACTCACCCACCTTCAACTCCTCTGCTCCATTCCATTAATTACCCTGAAAATCTGAGCTCTTGTCCTGGAAGGTGTCAGCCAAGGGGGTTAAAAAAGAAGAAAGGGGGCAAATGAGGAAATCCATGCACAGAATTAATAGGAAGACATTGATCAGAGATTTGGGAGCATCTTTCCTCCAGCTGAGCTGGAGGCGAGTCAACATAAGGCCACGAGGCACAGTGATGTCTTTCTGCTGGTACCAAGCTGTTCCTCTGCTCACCAGGAGCCCAGCAGGACACGCAGTCCCTGGGCCTGCTCCCGGGGGAGGTGTGAAGGACACACGATGCTCTGCAGAGCTGCCCAAGCCCACACTGAGCCAGCAGCACACAGGCCTCCCAAGCAGCCACTCACCCCAAGGAGCTTCGAGACCTGACTCTGTGACAATGAAATTGAAAGTCTCGCACAGAAAGGGGGGATGCTGAGAGGCACAAACACAATAAAGTGAACCCTATGAATGCTACATCAGAGGCAGAGCAAGTCACAGGGGTGTCACAAGCTGAGCAGTCAAGGGCTCAGGCTTCCTCTGATGCCACGCACACCTCATGCTCTTGCACCAAAGCTGATCCCAGCTTTACAGAGCTCACAGCAAGCCACTGGACTCAAGGACACAGGTGCTGGTAGCAGCTTGCCATGAAATCAGAGCAGCAGCAAGCTTGCCATTAAACCACAGCATCCAACAAGGAAGAGGACAGCACTGGGCCTGGCAAGAGCTTTGGAGGAAGCTAAAGAACCAAGATGAAGACCACTGGAGATGGCTGAGCAGAGCACAAGTGCAGAACTGGAGCATGGGAGAAGGAAGTAGCCACAAAAAGGAAGAGCACACAATGAGCAAAACAGTAACGGATAAAAGGCAGAGATAAAGCAAAAAAAGCAATCAAGCCACAGTAAGTGTAAGGGAATTATTTAATGATCCAACTGCAACACATTACAGCAGTACAGGCAGTGTTAGCAGAGATCTCATCACACACACTTCCAGGCGAGGGCAGGACATGGCTGCAGGAATCCCAAAGCCTCCCATTGCTGTTACTCATGCAAGGGGTGGTCCCCATAGACATAGAAAGCTGGATGGCAGGTTCTGTCCTGCTTTTAACCTCCCATTAGGCGCCCTCAACGTACTTCTTGTCCCTGCGCATTCCTGTAGGGAACAGCTTCTGCCAATCCCCAAAACAGTAAAGATGCCAACTCTGATCACAGACTTGTTCTAATCTACACAAAGGAGTCAAGGGATGGAAAGAATAAAGGGCAGGGGGGGATGAAAGTCTTCTCCAGCTGTGGGAGATGGAGGGACGCTTCCCTAGTGCTGCAGGGATGAACACAACTGCTCCCAAGGTATTGGAAGAGGACAGCCTTCCTTCTGCTCAGATACACCATGGGGCTTCCCTTCTTGAGGAGCTGGATTCCAAGCAGATAGGCCCGGAGCTCCCCACAGAGAGAGGAAGTGCTGAGCACCCTCCTAGATGTTTTGTTACCCCGGTTCTTCAGAGCAAGGTGCACAGGAGCTCAGTTTTAACTGCTTTGAGCAGCGTATCCCTGCACCTCCCCTGTGCCCAGGTCTTCTGCCACATTCTCCCCAGCGAGAGCTGCTCAGGGCACAAGGAAATGCACCTTTAACTGGTCAAAGCTTCCCAGTGTCCTTCCTTTAGGCCTCCAATCATCCAAAGATCAGGATTGGGGACAACTCTAAAGCCTCTCTGCTGCTGCGAGCAGCAAGATGATGACCAAGATCATCAGAAAACACAGCCAGGGAGTTCTGCTGGTGACAAACTCCTGAAAGCAGGGAGAGCCATGGCCTTCAGTGGCAGAGAGGTCACAAGGGGCTTTACTGAGCAAAATCATATCCAGCTTAGTCCTACTGGTTTTCTACCTCATTCAGTGTGTGCAGACTGAACAGGAGTCTGTAGACTCTTCAGTATGCATCTTGCTTGAAAGCACTGGCATAGCATAATCACTCCTATGCTGCCAAAAAGCTCTGACAGAAATGCAGCAACACATACTACGGAGCACAAGCTACATGCTTCAAGCACAGTAATTAGGTCTCCAGTACTGCATCAGCTCCATCCTGGTCTGTAAGTCCACAGACTTTGGGCCCTGAGGCATTGCAGGGGTCAAGCCAATTGGTAACTCCTACGCCCTGATGAGAGGCTTCTAGTAGCATCAGGGAGTGTAGCAATAGGACATGAGGGAATGGGTTCAAACTCTCACAGGAAAGGTTTAGGTTGAATCTTAGGCAGAAGCTCTTCCCTGTGAGGGTACTGAGGCGCTGGCACAGGGTGCCCAGAGAAGCTGTGGCTGCCCCATCCCTGGCAGTGTTCAAGGCCAGGTTGCATAGGGCTTGGAGCAAGCTGCTCTAGTGGAAGGTGTCCCTGCCCATGGCAGGGGGTTTATCTAGGTCATCTTAAGGCCCTTTCCAACCCAAAGCATTCTATGACTCTAATACACAAGCACAGCACACATAGCAGCCCCTGAAGACTCCAATTACAGGCAGTACCCACTGCAGTGGGTGTCTGGGCTCCGGAGGCAGAGCTCATGGAGCATCTACACATGGCACAGCTCACCAACATGGAATTATTCATCCTCTGGTTCCCTCTGCTGCAGCTGATGAACACAAGGAACATCCAGACACAAGATTTCAGTGTGACAGCACTGCCAGAGCTGGGGCATTCCAAGCAGCCTAGCACTGTAACCTTTCTTAACTAAAACACATTTGTTTAGCACAATAGGAAACAAGGGAAAACCGAATGTACAATCTACATCCCTCAAAGTCCCAGGGCACAGAAAGCTGGGCAAAGTGAAGCAGTTCACTTAAAGTATTAAAGTCAAATCAAAAATGGGCAGGGACTGAAAGAGTTCCTGACAAGCTCAGAGGTCCCAGCAAGGTAACAACCAGAGCCCTTGGCTTCTTGGGCTGTTTTACATTAGAACACACACAATGGTTTCAAAACATTTCTAGTCCCAGAAAAGGGTAAGCTTAATGCTTTAAGTCAGATCCTAGGGGAAAAAGGCTCCTTCATGTATTTCACAGTCCAGCTCAAGAGGTAAGCCCACACAAGGGACAGCAGCACCGCATCACCAGACTTGCTTCAACTGTTCCACAACCTTGGTCATGCCAACAGCAAGGGAGCCAGAACTATTTAAACACTTCATTCCACATGTGAAACAACACATGTGATCCCAACACAGGCAGATGAGTCCATACACGATCCAAGCTGAAGGTGTAACATTCAGCACTCCAGTTTCATGTATGGCTGTATTACCTTCCCATCACCCAGCATTTCTGACTTCTTGCCCCACCAGAACGGAAGCAACCATGTCTAGTGGAAGGTGTCCCTGCCTGTGGCAGGGGGTTGGAACTGGGTAAGCTTTAAAGTCCCTTCCAACCCAGACCACTCTTGTGATTCTGTAACTATGAAACCACCATCCTCAACTCCCGCACTTGTCACTGCTCCCTCCTCTTTCCCTCCTTTGTATGCTCTGATCTCCCCCAGGAACTGCCAACACCAAAACCCAGCCAAACCTGCCACAAAACCCACTCTTGGGTAACTGACTTGTGAGGTAGAAGAGGGGAATCACCAAAAAGCATGCTGCAGAGTTGGCAATCACCCCAACCCACCCTCTCTATACTTCTCCAAGCAAGGACCTCATGACTCCACTGCAAAAACACTGGAACACAACTCCACCATGGCTGATGCACATTCTCCTCCTTGGTCAGGGAGGCTCTAGCAACAGCATTACCCTGCATGTTAACACAGTTTAGTGACAGGCAAGGCCAGGGATGGTTAAAGGCTAACACAAACCCAAGATGCATTAGACTAGCTCATGCTCTAGTTGTTGTCAACAGGTTTTTATCCAGAGCCACAATTCAACAGGCCACAAGCTGTTTCTAAACCAGTAAAGCCAGCAACACACTGGGGCACAGCACAAGAGCACAGAGGGTTTACAATGATCCAATTCCCAAGCTGACATTCCTGCACGCAGTATTCCTCCCCTCGAGCTGCCACCCCTACAGTGTCAACCAGCCAGGGAACATGGCCACATGCTCCATTTCTCTTCACTTGAAGCTCTGCTCCATCCCCACACATCAAAGCACACAGCTCTTGGGTGACTCTAGCTGTGAGAGGACTCCACCTGCTCACACCTACATCCAGCGCTGAGCACACGAGGCCATTGAGAGATAAGACAAGCGGAACAGAGTTAGACCAAAAGCAGTGGACATTTATTCCTTGTTTGTGCAAGTGTCAAGATGCATTTGGAAATGGGTGGGACAGACCCTTGTGGCTGGAGGGCTGGAGGCTACAGCCTCTCCTTCAGTCGATGGCTTTGTTCACAATTCTACTGTAAGAGGAAGGAGATCAACTTGCAGACTCACCTACTGTCACACCAACGTTGCTGCCAAATACACTTGTATACAAAGAAAACAAGTTCCAAACTACATTTCTTTTTCCACTAAAGTGAAGACTTTGTTCAAAAAAAAAAAAAAGAAAAAAAAGACACATACAAGTACAGTTTCAAACTGAATGAACATTTGCAAATGTTTAGTGCAAAGTAATTCTGTAAAAGCTACATTTTTATGAAAGTTTGTGCTGATGTGTTTGGTAGGTTTTTTCTTTTTTACCCTTTTACATCCATTATTTTAGTTACATAAGGTTTCACTTACCTACAGTACATATGCATTGTGTTAGGTCCCATGCAAGTGGGAATAATACCATTAGGCTTTGTAAAATGTCACTCGTTCTCAGTTAGGGGAACTGCTGATTTGGTTTAACAGTCATGGTTCCTGGCACAGGGCACATCCTGATCTCATGGAAGTGCTCAAGCTTACGTTTGTCTCATCCAGGTGCACATGGGGATCAAGCCAAGCTGCTTCGTGCCTTCAAACTCAACCATAGGTCAAAGCAAGAGGTTTAGAAATCCACCAGTTTGCTTTAAGCCTGTAACTGCTCTTAAAAGTAAAAGCCTATTCACACAAAGTTATATGTAATGACTGTAGTAATCAGTTTATTACACAGATTAATCATTCTTGAACGTACAAGCTCCAGGGGAGCAGTTGGGTCTTTAAATACACACAAGTTTGTCTGTCAAATGGATTTTTACCCTTACATCCAGAAAGACCTAAGCAGTTAAAAAACTTAAGAAAAAGAATAAGAGCTATTAGCTAGGTATTAACTGAGAAACCACATACAAACCAAAAGAAGTATGAAGGAAGGGAGAGAGTTGAAACAAATCAACATCACTTGATGCACTAATAGCTCCAATCCATTTAAATGGTGACCGGTTAAACTTAGACCTTAAACACAGGATGTGGGTACAGTTTCTCTCATTGGTCATAACATTTACCTAAGGTGTAGGTCCTTCAGAATAAAATGAATACAGAAACAGCTTCAAGTTCTTCACCTTGATTTTCATAACTTATGAGTTTAAAAGGATTCCACTTAAAATCCTTCACGGACCAGCAACACTGTCCCTAGAGATCTGAACTCCACCATCACTCTCCTGTCACATTTTACTACCCAATTTAAATCAAGAGGGAATGCTTTTAGGCTCACAAAGTTATGACTGAAGAACCAGCTTTTCACACACACACTTCTCTGCTAGGAGTCAATGTTGGTACGGGGAAATACAGTATTTCTATTTTGTTGTTCCAAGTATGTACAACACGCAGCACTGCTGTATCAGGTAAACATGTGCACAGGGGAAGATGAGGCGTGGGCTCATAGAAAGCAGTCAAATGGAAATCAAAAGGACTTTCTCTTTCAGAGTTCCCCTATCTTTATTTGTAGAGGTTATCCAATAATTTCTTTAATTACATCGCGTACTTCTGAGTCCATTCCCGAGCTATTCTGTTGTACCTGCATGTACAAAGAGAGGAGTTACTCAACAGAGCATCTGAACAGCATTTCAACTCGGCAATCTACACATGCCAGGAGCTTACACTCTCCAGCATAAATTCATAAGAGCAAACTAAACATTAGGCAAACAGGAGAAAGCAGAAAGCCCACAGTACTTCATGGAAAAGTAACCAGTCCCACTGACAACAGGGATAGGAGATGGTTGTGATTCCAGCCACAAGAGAGCTGAGTATCTTCAGGAAATCTTTACCTACACCTTCCCCAGCCCCCAGCCACTGCATTCCTGGGGATGCTATTACTGCAGGCACCTGGCACTCTTGGAAGAGAGATTAATTATGTCCCACCTCATTCTTCTTTCCTCAGAAACTAAATCCCAGTTCCTGATACCTACTCAGCTGCCAAACCCCATCACAGCCTTGTTTCTTGCTAAATGTTGAATTTGGCCATTTTGATAGCTATCAGGATACACCGATTTATCCAACAGGATTTGGTTTTATTCTGAAAGCACAATATTTCCTAAATCACCTGTAGCTTTTCCATCCAAATGCCCTTTAGAGCCAGAGCCAGAGCCACTAGTAGAAGCAGCTCAGGATTCACATGTAAAACATCTAAAAGCAGTTGCGGTCAGCAGTACTGCTAAAAGCTTATTGTTGACAACAGAAGGCAAGGTGTTCTTATTCTTACACACCTTTTTATCCTGTTCTTATGTACAGGATTTGTACAAAAAGCTTAAGAAAGAATAAGAAAAAGCAGAACTTAAGCAAGAAGTCTCCCAGCTATGTGCAGAGCTGGCTCTTGTGCTTAAAGAGCATTTTTTAGCCTAAAGAACCTGACATACTTTAACAAATGCTCTTGCCTACATATCACTGTTCGGAGAGTACTCAAGAAGCAAGTCCACTTGTGTTTAAGCACCAAATTTCCCTATTTGGGGGGCGGATGGGGAAGGAAAAAGGAAAAAGCCCTGCATACATTAAGTGCTGTCAGTCACCGTCAGCTGTGCCTCACAATACATACTGCTTCTCTTGCAGCTCTCATTAAAACCAGCCTGCATGAGCTCTTCTAACACTGCTTCTCAAGTATGCAGTAAGCAAGTTTGTGGATCATTTTCCCTTCCTTCCGTGTTCTCTGCAGATGATCATGTAGCTTCATAAAATAAACACTACTGATCAGAACTGGAAGGGAACAGCAAGGTGGAAATGTGTTTACAATGCTCAGGAAGCTGATGCTTTCGAAGCGCTCATCAGCACTAGAGTTCTCTCTACTCTTGTTGTTTACTCCAGAGAATCTCTGAGCCCTCCTACCCCACCTCTACACCATTTGTTCTTCCCTTGTGTTGTCAAATTAAGGCAAAATGGTATTTTTGTTCTTCCTTTGCCTGTATGATTCCATCACCAATAGCGACTGTGGAAATTCTCTCCCACTGGAGTAACCTGCTCTCCCTCTGCTGGTTATGTGGCGTTACAGCAGGCAGGGAAAGCTCAGAGCTGGTCACATTCACCTCAAAGCTCCACACCAACCAGATTTGCATTGTTCACTTCCCATTTTCATTAAATCAAGCAAACCTGTAATCAACTGCTACAATGCTAATGAAAGACCATTGTGTGGAACAAAGATGCAGCAATAAAACCACACAAGTACAAGACCTCTACACCCTTCACTTCTGGCATATACACCTTTGTCCTACAACAATGCAGTGCTGTTAACATATTAGTACTACAAGTCCCGGGGGGGGGAGAAAAACATCTCTAAAGAGACCACAGTTAGAGTGAAAAAGGCAAACCAAAGTTCACACTCTTTTCCCAGAAGCAGGTCCTTTTAGATCCCCATTACTACTGAACTGCGGGTTCTGCTCTGTCACACATTACGTGCTTTTTGGCTTCCATACTCACTTTTCTCTATCTGTTTTGTAGATCCGTGCAATCTCAGGCACTAAAGGATCATCTGGATTGGGATCACACAACAGAGAACAGATGGACAAAAGTACTAGGGAGAAAAAGAGAGAGATACTGAATTAGAGTTTAAGTGCAACCGAAGACACCTCCACAAGTCAGCCCATGCACTGGCTTTCCCTCTAGCAATTAGCATCATTTCAAATAGCCAAGGAGCAGTGATGTCACATACACAGCCAAGTGATTCTGAACAAAGATCCTTACCATTTTACCATGCAACTCTGCATGGTCATGAGTTTTTAGCTGTCACCACAACAGGTAACCTCCTGCACAGGTGTAGCTGAGTACAGCCTTAAATAACAAGGCAGAGGCTGAAAGCCTTCCCAGGAAACATCCTTGCTTTTGCACCTGAAATTCAGCCTCTCCCTAAACCACCTGTTAATGACCTGCAGAAACACCAAGAGTCAAACAGCAACCAGGTCCAATGAGATGAAGGAGGCATGAGCTGCTCACAGCTACAAGAACACTCATCTTGCAGAGAATTAAGAGACTTTATCCAATTACTTTCTGAGCATAAGAAAGGTTGAGATGGATTAACCGTATTACAGTATTCCAAATGAACCAAGCAAGCATGGCTTACTGCACTCCTGCCAACCACCAAGCCCTGAACTTTCAAGTTTCACTATAAATATGTGCTGTCTGTATCCCAGAAGCCACATCCCGCTCGGCACAGCATCAACCTTCCTCCATGTAAGGAGTCAGGAGGCTGCCTGCAAAGCCACAAATAGCACACGCACATTCCTGCGTTCACACCAAACTAAAGGCAGGAAGCTGTAAGCTAAGCATACTGGGACAACACTCCACAAGGCACGTCAGGGACATCTTTGTCCCCCTCCAAGAAACGCCAAACATTCATTGTATTGATTAAAACAGGCTGAGAGAAAAGCAAACAGTGCCACTCCGTATGTGCCTCCACCACCAGCAGGAAGAGCAGAGCTGTCACAGAGCATCCTCCAAGCAAGTTGGAGATGACAGCAGTTCAAAGTTTGACGGCACTAAACAGAAATCTGCTCAACTTCCATTGCTTGCTACTGTGTTGCAGAGCAGAAGGCAGAGCTCTGTGCTGAAAGACAGCAGCTGACAATGAAAGAGAACAGCATCCATCCCAGAACTCTTTTGTGGGTTTTATGGTAGGTTAAAACAAGCCACAAACCAAAGCACAAACAGAGAGAAGGGGAAAAAGAAGTCTAGAATTCACTGGATGTGGAAATGGTTTTTAAAGTGGGACAAAAAGCAAGTTCCACCGTGCAGTGATGAGAGCACCCAGCACCCAGTTAGTCTGGTTTTCCAAAGGGTATTTTTCCTGAAGAGTTCTGTAGTCCCTTCACTAATGAATTATCAACTTCATGTTAAAAGCTTCTAGAATAAGTTTATTACTAAACTGTTCTTGATGTAAGTGAACATATTTCTTCTAGAATGAAGAACCTCCTCTTCCTCCTGTTCCTTTTTGTCCTGTACACTTGGGAGTTAAGAGCTTCATTATTCTCTACCATCCACTGACACCCAGAACATTTATTCAGCTATTTCTCAGAACACAGCTTCAGAGCGTGCAGACACTAATTTTGTGCTGCAGCATGTACAAGCCACTAGTCCTGCAGTGCTGGCCCTTAAAAGGGACAAAGCCTGGGTTAGTACCTGTAGCACTTCCCATCAGTTTCAGCATTGTCCTCCCTCCACGTACACTGAGTAAAACTCACATTAGCATTCAGCAATAAGAATCTCTGTCCCATCGTACGCCCAGCTACTGCCACACAGTTCAGCTTCAAAACTCTCATTTCTTCAGCTACTTCCCTGTAGCTCATGTCTTTATATTTGTCAGACTGCACTGCTCTGGTCACTGAAGCTTCTCCAGCTGGTAAGGAGAGTAAAACAGTTACCATCCATCCCCTCTTCAACAGAAACCACAGGAAACCCAGAGTGTTCTCCTCAGCTCTCCCTCAAGTTTTATCTTACCACAGTCCTTGAACAGCCAAGGACTCTTCTGGACAAGGTCATAGAATGGTTTACATCAGAAAGGACCTCAAGATCATCCAGTTCCAACCTCCTGCCATGCCACTGATCACCCTTTAGAAGCAGAACCAAGCTGCAAGTCTGTCCGGTTCGCCCTGCCCTCCCTCACTACCATCTTGCCCGTTTCCCCATCACTCAACGTAGCTGCATGAGTTCCTCCTCATGCAGTTCCCATCAGCCTTACAAAACAAAGCACTAACCAGACAAGATGGTGGTCAGCTGTTGGTGCCCATGACCAAAAGCATGGGCACCAGGATAAGCAGGGCCTTGCTTTGTGTCCTCCAGAGCAGATGATGCTGCCCACAAACCAGTTTTGTCCAGCAAGATGCAAGTCTGCCTCAAACAGGGGAAGAAAGGGAGAGATAACCCCTGTTCTAGTCTTGCAGGTTTAGTTCTTGGTTTACAGGTATCAGTGCGAGTTTATCCTTGCTACCTGCTGGCCATTAAATAAAGATGCCACTGGTACTTCTTACTAAAAGGCTGTGGTTTGTTAGAACTTAACCAGCAGCTAAACACCTCCTTTGATGAATTCTGTCAATCTAACCACTTCCAAAAACATTTCTAGATTTCATTCCTCAGCACTTCACTGATTTTGTAAGTAGAAATGGTGCCAGCAAATCTTCTGAGTCTTCATTAACCAAAAGACTTCTTCCCTGTGAGGGTGCTGAGGTGCTGGCACAGGGCACCCAGAGAAGCTGTGGCTGCCCCATCCCTGGCAGTGTTCAAGGCCAGGTTGGACACAGGGGCTTGAGCAAGCTGCTCTAGTGGAAGGTGTCCCTGCCTGTGGCAGAAGGTTGGAACTAGATCAGCTTTAAGGTCCCTTCCAACACAAACCAGTCTGAGTCTGACTCTCCATCACCCTTGCTCTTACTTTCACATCTTTCCCTTTTTATCTGTATACCCTCAGCATGAAAAACATTCACTGAGTTATATAAACTGGTTTAATTTTAAAAGCCTGCTGAGCCCAGCTATTCATCCAACTTATATTCAGAAGTTTCTCTCTTGAGGATTCCCACCAGAGTGCTGCACATATACGCGTTATAGACCAACCAACACAAGCAGCCTCCAGACCACTACGAAAACCCCCTTAGAAGAAGGTAACTTACAGAGCTTAAGGAGCTCAGTGCCAGAGGAAAGAGGAAGTAATCCTTAATAATGTCAGCTGCATATAAGTAGTTCTTTGATGCATCACAGTAACTAAACAGTATGGAACAGAGTCACCAGACCACCACCTTCTGCATCAAGTATTACTGCAACTAATTCCATTGCAAACCCTTGACATTTCCAAGTCAAATGACTCTAGCATTAGAAGATAATTAAAAAGTAGTTCACAAATCAAATCTTCTAACCACAGGATCAGGCTGGACAAGTCCCTGTGAGTACGTGATGTCGTTTTACACCTTGTCCTACTCATCCTGCATGGCCACTGGTGAAGCTGCTCCAGTGGCGGTAGTTTGACAACATCCCTTTGAGTCTCACTGGAAGGGGCACAGCAGCATAAGCTTGCACTGTTCAGGATTTAAGTTTGAATTTTTATCAGTACTAGCAAAACAGGTAAGTTTCACTTCCCATGGGATCAAGTACAGTTATTTCTCTGCTCTTCAATGTCAACATAGTCCAGACTGTTGGAAAATATTAAGCAGCTTAAAACTTTGTCAGCTGAAAGCTGCCTTTCATTCCAAAAATTAGTTTGGCTTTGTTTTACTTCCCCACAATGCTGTCCTGGTTTAGGCTGGGATAGGGTTCATTTTCTTCTAGCAGCTGGTGCAGAGCTGTGTTGCGGCTTTAAGCCTGAGACTAATGCTGACAACAGACCCATGTTTTAGTTGTGCTCAGTGGAGCTTACCCTGATCAAAAACTTTTTAGTGCCTCAAGCTCTGCCAGAGAGGAGGGGCACAAAAAGCCAGGAGGGAGCAGAGGCAGGACACCTGACCCAAACTAGCCAAAGGGATATTCCATACCACAGCACATCATGCCCAATACAGAAACTGGGGGGAGCTTATCCAGAAGGGCCAGATCGCCGCTTGGGTCAGGCTGGGTATCTGTCATCAGGTAGCAAATAATAATCATAGAATCCCAGACTGGTTTGGGTTGGAAGGGACCTTAAAGCTCATCCAGTTCCAAACCCTGCCATGGGGAGGGACACCTTCCACTAGAGCAGCTTGCTCCAAGCCCCTGTGCCCAACCTGGCCTTGAGCACTGCCAGGGATGGGGCAGCCACAGCTTCTCTATGCCAGTGCCTCACCATATGATCAAAGTCTTGTACACTGCCATAGAACAGGTCAGATAAAACAGGGCCGTTATCAGTTCCTCACCACCATGGCAATATCAGTTCTCAGTACTGAGGCAGCACACCCTGCTGCTCTGTCCCAGGTGAATGATAAGTATTAGCCACTAAGTTCCTTCCATGGAGAGAAATTTGTCATGCCCCTGGAGATCAGGCCCCAGGCTCCAACAGACAGAGCTGGGCTTTGTGATCCCACTCATCCAGCCACATTTTTGAATATGAAAGTAACAAGGTCTGTCAGCTCAGGTTTAATGGAGCATGGTACTCTGGAGATTATGAAACATCTCTGCTAGCATAGATCTGAGCTTTGGACACATCCCTGCTGCTGAGCAACTCTTAATTCTGTTTTCAAGACCTTATCCTGCTGTCCTACTTCTCACCCCAGCTGAGACTCCTCCTCTGCTAACCACCAGCAGACTGACAGCCAAGAGCCTCCCTATCACAGTTCACTACCACTTACATCTCTATCCCTCAAAACCAGGAATCCTGACTCCTGGAAAGAGTCTCTGCCTTTACAACCACTGCTTTGGAGTTCCAGGCCCCAGACCCTTGAAGCTTTTGAGGCACAGAGTTGTCAAAGTACCAAACATGAAGCTTGTAGCATTAAATCCGGACTGAACACAGCCCAGCAAGTTCAAGTGCTAAGGACCAAATGACTGGCTTTCAACTACAAACAGGCAAGATGCATCTGACTAACTCCAACAACTCCAGACCCTGCTTGGGGAAAATCTTACTTCTTAATGACAGCCCCATTTCAAACTCTTCTAGCAATCTTATCTACTCCAACAGAAGTATACCTTTAAATCTGAGCAGGTTAAACTTCTTGCTTCACAGCAACTTGAATTCCTGCTAAGTCAGTTCAACAATCTGGTGACAAGAGAGTAAAGTTTTGCCCAGTGCATCATAAACTGGCTGAGGTTGGAAGGGTCTTCCAGAGATCATCCTGTCCAATCCCCCCCAGCTCAAGCAGAGTCAGCTTAAACAGGTTGCCCATGACCATGCCCAGATGGCTTTTAAGTATCTCCAACGTGGGAGACCTCACAACCTCCCAAAGCAGCCTGTGCCAGTGCTCAGTGTTTCCTGATGCTCAGAGGGACCCTCCTGTGTGTGCCTATTACCTCTAGCTCTGTCACCCTGCACTCAGCAGAGTCTGGCTCTGTCATTCCTGCACCTTCAAGTATTTATATACATCGATAGGAACCCCTGAGCCTCTTCAGACTGAAGAGTCCCAGCTCTCTCAGCCTGTCCTCACAATGGGAGATGGTCCAGAATCTTCCATGTTCATGACTCTTCACTGGCTCTCCCCACTATGTCTTGTTCTGGGGAGCCCAGCACCAGACACATGCTCAGGTACAGCCTCACCAGTGCCAAGCAGAGGGGAAGGATCACTTCCATCCATCTGCCAGCAATACTCCTCTAGTGCAGTCTCCTTTCCAGCAAGGACAACATCCCTGGGAAGCCACCCAAGCAGCTACACTGAAGTTGTAAGAGATGTGGACTACAAGAATTAAAGTTTCGCTCAGAGCCCTAACTCAGCACATGTGGAAAGACTGGTCCATGCTATGTGACAAAGCCATGCCAAGCAAGTTCAGTCAGGTTGCTGGGTACTTGAGAATTCCCACCCAGTATGTCTTGGTGAAGCCACTTTTAACACCTCTAATAGCAGCACCACAGAAAATTACCACTGCACTGGACATAGAAGTGGGGAGAAGTGGGGACAGGACAGCGTAAATCAGCCTGATCTTTACTGAAGAACTACTTGAGTTCGGTGTTAACTCTTGCCAATCGACACACCAAAAGCAAAAGCAAGCTGGATTTCCCCAAAAATGGCTAACAACAGTTGTAACTGGGTTAAACCTCTTTATTCTCCTGTTAAAGGCAATGGGAATTTCCTATTTATGCAGACTTTGAGGTAACACGTTTAAGCCTACACATTCTGCTTAAGCTTTGGAGTTTAAATCAACCACCAAGGTGCAGTTAAGGCTGTATTTTGAGATTATTTATTCTCCACTAAGTATTCTTTAAGGAACACTTACTCCAGAATTAATACAAGGAAGTTAGCTATTCTACTGAGACTCCCAATGATTCAGAACCTGTTTCAACAGGCCTAGGAGGGACAAACATTGAGAGACAGAACAAGACCCCGAGATGTAGTCACCTCTAATACCCTGTCCAAGAGCTCTCCCTCTGTAAGCAACTTCACAAAGGGAAAGTTCCTTCTTTACTTAGTGGTCTGAAACAGAACTGCTCATATTGCCTAAGCTCAGGCCTGCAATACCTCTCCCAGCAAACAGGGCAGCTTCCCAAGCTAGAGCCTTTGGGAGCAACCCACTATCCTCCAGAGTGTAAGCAGCCAAGACCCCACCTTTACCACTTCACTGGGATGATGGAGTAGCACTAATGTGACTTCTCAGTCTTTCCACCAAGAAAGTAGCACTGTAATTTAAAAGGAAGTAGCACAGAAAGGCCACATTAATCCCACAGCTTACACCAAGAGGAAGATAAAAAGGAGTTCAAGGCAAAAAACAGGAGATGTTAAAAGCACATCCCAACTGTATCTGGGTTGCAGAATGAAATTTTAGACCTTCTTTGTGAGGGATGTACCATCCCTGGCAGTGTTCAAGGCCACACTGGACAGAGCTTGGAGCAACCTGCTATAGTGGAAGGTGTCCATACCCATGTGGCAGGGGGTTGGAACTGGATGAGCTTTAAGGTCACTTCCAACCCAAACTATTGTAGGATTAAAGCTAACAGCCATTCATAGGCAGTCCATTGATGCCCTTAACTAGCCTCTGAAGTTCTTACCCCATCTTCCAACTCTAATTCCAGTCTTCCCTTATCTTCAAACATGCCTATTTAGTCATTTCAGCCTCTCTAAAACATGACTACAAGCATCCAACTACGGCACTCTAACGAATCATACAGCAATTTACCCAAAAAACAATGGATGCCAGGACTTAGTACTAACTTAATGCTTCTAACAGTAGCCAGTACCTGACAGGAAGCACTTGTAAGGAAAGCTGTATTACCCTGGCAATCGGTTCCCCTTTTCTGACACCACTTCTTTAGCTCTTTCAACTCACAGTAAAGACTTTCAGAGCTTCATGCACAAGCAGATTCACTGACATCAGACTACTCAATCTTTTGCCTTTCCATCTATTTCTATAAATTGAAGCCTTTAGGTAGACAGGGAAGGCTGGAACATCCATGAGCTCAGTAAAAGGGAGCTAGTTATGATGTCCAAGACAGGGGCATCAGGAGCCATCTGTCTGAACCAAGAAGTCTCCAGGAACATCACATGTGGCTGGAGAGAAGAATTACAAGCAACAGGACAGCCTCACAGGGCTGGGACACCATGATGAAGATGCTACAATTAAATGGGATAACTGCAGTATTTGATTACAAAGACACTGTGAAGCTATGAAATATGCTCAAGCTGTGAAGCTATGAAATGCTCAAGATATGGTCCATGCAGAGATCCAAAACTAGTGCTCAATAGCCACGGCTTGAGCTACAGTTTCAACAGCCAGAAAAATCAGTAAAATGCAAAGGTCTTCTTTCTAGGCATTTAAAGCTTCCTATTCACATCACACATGAATACTGATCTAAGAGGCAAAGAATGGATTCCAGTGCCCCACAGGCTAACAGAGCTCACAGGGACCAAGATGTTTTTAGTTGAATATTAAGACAGTGCAAGCTAGTTAAGTTTTAATGTGTTTTAGCAGTCCCTGTCATTGAAAGCTCTGTTAGAAAGTGACCAACATGGGTGTTCTGATGTTCCCCTTAAGATAACCAAGAACCAAGCAGCTTTAGTGTTTGGTTTTTTTTTTTTTTCAAAGCCACAGCTGTTAGCCTCCATCCTTTACTTGGTTTGCAGTCTTCCACTGACATAGGTCAGGTTTAATCTCTGGCTTTAAGCTAAGAGTGTTCAGAACCTGAGGTGAGGTGACAAGACTATGGAACTCAGGAGACGGGAACAGGTTTTACATTCTAAATCCAAGTGAGTAAATCATTTCAGCAGAGTAAAATTCAATGAGTATTTGAAGTACCTTTTGAAATAGTTAGTGCTGGGGACCACTGTGATCGTAGAATATCAAGACAAATGCTGCCATTACTGTTAATATTTGGATGATAGATTCTTGTCGTAAATGCAACCTGCAGAAGAAGGAGAATTTCAGTGTAGGCTCACAAACATACATGACACCACACAGCAATAAATAGATTTCCAGCACAAGGCACTCACCTTAGGTGGTTTGAAGGGATAATCTGTTGGGAAGTGAATTGTCAAGAAGAATACTCCACCTTGATAGGGACTGTCATTCTGTTAGTGAGAAAGAATCATTGCAGGTTGAGGAGTTAGTACAAGAAGGCTCATCAGAAAGAGCTAGGAACATCAATTCTCTTATACTTACTGGTCCCATTATTGTAGCTTGCCAATGGAACACTGCAAAAGAGAAAGATTTACTTCAGTTTGGAGAAGCTCAAGTAATGAACTACTTTCTTCCAGACAAAGCAGCACAGAAAAGCCCATTTTAAAAACAAAGCCTTTTGAAAGGCTGCAGGAAGCAAGCCAGAGAATTAAACAGAGTGAAGTACCCAACGCTCCACAGCCACTTGCTCCACACACTTTTGAGATTGCTGCGGTACCTCACACATGTGTCCTACAAAACAACCCCCTACAAAACACATCCAGGCAGTGAAGAGTCAGCTTTCCACCCTCAGAATTGTGAGTTCTGACTTGTAGTTTCCAATGAAACACCAGAATCAAAGCCATGTTTCTAACAACTGCCCTCTTGGAGCAAGCATGACCTCACACCTTTGCGAGGCAGGATGTCTCTTACACAGATCCAGAGTCAAATGGAAAGTCAGCCCAAGCTTCGTATGTACCATATGTACAGATATGGCCTAAACCAGTGGTAGCTTGACTGAATCTTCAAGTTCAGCCTCCACAGAGGCCTCAAGATTTCATGAAAGCAGCAGGAAGCAATACAAGGCTTAAGAGAATTCAGGACTGATGGTCTCCACTCAACACTGGGGACCAGGTTTAAGCACTTCAAATTAAATGGACAAAAATCAAGTCTCACTCGTATGCATCTGTCCAAGAGAACATCTTAATGTGGTAATACAGAAGGTTCGTGGAGAATGTTGTTATGCTGCAGAACACAAGAGAAACAATCAAAGCTGTTAATCTGTATGAGGCACAGCAGGAAGTTCTTGGTGCTCTCCAAAGGCTCTAACATTAGCCTGCTCAAGGAGCACCAATGTAATAGATGAGTTGTGAACTAGTACCATGGGAAGTTTCCCTCTGGGGAACCGTACACAAGACTCCAGTTGTTGCAAGGTGAGTCTTCAAGCCACAGAGTTGCAGCTCTGTATTTAACTTGCAACTGGTGTCTACAGCATCCAGGACTGCCTTGGCCAAAAGTAACTCTGGCCCTGAGTGGCACTGCTTGTTCTACTTGAGCATGAGCAGGCTGTAATTACAAGTGATACAGGCATAATATACATACTCCCATAAATGGGAGTGATCTCATACAAGGAAGGGAGGAAAAACAGAACAGGAACAGCCCTGCTGAGGCAAGGAGAGAAGAGCATTTGGTTAGAACAGGAGGTTTGGTACAAAGGGTACTGCAGCTGGTGACATCAGGTAGCTCCTGAGAAACTACCTTCTACAGTCAGGAAATCAAGGCAGAGGGTCATGGAGAAGAGAAGGCACTGGGAAGATCTTAGAGCAGCTCCCAGTGCCTAAGGGGGCTACAAAAAAGCTGCAGAGGGGCTTTGGACAAGGGCCTGTAGTGACAGGACAAGGGGAACGGCTTTAACCTGCCAAAAGGGAGACCGAGATGAGCTCTTAGGCAGAAGTTCTTCCCTGTGAGGGTGCTGAGGTGCTGGCACAGGGTGCCCAGAGAAGCTGTGGCTGCCCCATCCCTGGCAGTGTTCAAGGCCAGGTTGGACACAGGGGCTTGGAGCAAGCTGCTCTAGTGGAAGGTGTCCCTGCCCATGGCAGGTGGCTGAAACTGGATGAGCTTTAAGGTCCCTTTAACCCAAACCATTCTGGGGTTCTATGTGTTCCTATGTAGTGTTCACCCATGTTAAAAAGGGTTCAGACAGCTTCACAGTAAGTTCCCACCACCTGCAGCAGGACAGTGAGAAACCCAAGAGGACACAGGGGCAGCAGAAACCCAGCAGTGAAGGTTGTGGCTAGTCACAGGCAAACCACCAGGAATTTCACAGGCATCAGAAGATGCTGCAAAAGATTCACAAAGCACAGGACCTTAACCTGCACAGCCCTGCACCCTGAGAAACCAGTATAACCAACTACTGTCTAAAACCCAAGGAGCAGCCAGAAAGAAAAACGCATTCACAGTGAATCTTAGCATCTTACAAGCCAGAAGTGTGGTTTGTTTGGATTCCCCCCTCAGCTCCACTCCAGACTCAAGGGAAGTGCCTGTCTAACCTCAGCTTTAGAGGTCTCTGAACATCCAGGACAAGTGTGATGTGCTCTGAACCCAGAGGGCTGGCATTCTGACCAGGCAGGTGAGGCACAGGGACTCTGAAAAGGTACCTTTCTGTTGCTGCCTCTGTTATCCACTGCCACACACCCAGTGTTGTGCTCAGCAGTCAAAGTCTTTCATTAGAGATCCTTCAGAAAGGTGGCATGAGGAAGAGAATTGAATATTGCTTTAAAGCCTTCTGAATTCTGCAGTAACTTTTCATTATAAGCATTCAGCAACCTATGTTACCACTTCTTCCACCAGACAAGCTCTGTCTCCATCACCTCTGAGAAGTCCTTAGAAACCGCACAGTTTTACCATGGCACAAAGGACACTTGCCCCATACTGGCTCTACAACTTGGTCTTTTCTCTTCCATGAATCTATCAGCTTCTTTGAAATACTATTTGGAAAGCAGAACTAAGCTGCGCAGTAACCAGAAGCAGTCTGACACTACTGCTAAAACCCTCGAAGCCAAACACAGCTTCTACCTCTCAGTCCTGTCTGCACTCCTTTCAGTACTCTCATTCTCAGGTTTCAAGTGCCTTTTTTAACCTATCCTAGGTATCTATAGAAATGTGCACATTTCTGTAACACTTTAGCACTTCTGAAGAGTTCAGAAATGACTCAGAAAGATCTTGGCAGCTTTTTTCTTTTAGAAAATACCAGAGCTTAGAGCTCTCTGTGCTTAGTTAGAGGGTTTTCCTATTTAAATATCCCCTCTTCATGAGCCCAGATTCTTCACCAACAGCACACTTGTCAGAGAGCCCACATCACACAGCAAGTTCTATGCATCCCAGCCAAAGCTTCCAAGTGTTCTTAAGGAGCCTTTTCTACACAGCAGCACTGCTATGAGAAAGAGCATAGACATATTCCAATATCTGAAGGGGGCCTACAAGGATGCTACAGAGGAACTCTTCAGAAACTGTAGCAACAGGACAAGGGGAATGGCTTTAACCTGCCAGAAGGGAGACTGAGATGAGCTCTTAGGCAGAAGCTCTTCCCTGTGAGGGTGCTGAGGCACTGGCACAGGGTGCCCAGAGAAGCTGTGGCTGCCCCATTCCTGGCAGTGTTCAAGGCCAGGGTGGACACAGGGGCTTGCAGCAAGCTGCTCTAGTGGAAGGTGTCCCTGCCTGTGGCAGGGATTGGGAACCGGATGAGCTTTAAGGTCCCTTCCAACCCAAACCAGTCTGGGATTCTATGATTCCCTGATCTCAGGCATTTTATGCATTAAGTGCCAATGCAGGTACCTGAACCCACCTTATCGCTCATGGTCAAGTTATAAAGCACAGAATGAATTACAAGTGTTCTGCCTCACTGCAAGCATCCCCTAATCTTGCTCACTTAAGCTATGACCAAGAGTTTAATGCTGCTATAAAAAGTAGTTCACCAGAAAGTGCAAGATCCTGGTTAATGTGGAGGAGAGCACAGAGCTTGCAAAGCCACTGCACTTTAAAGGCCTCTCACAGAAAACTACCATAAAGCACAAGGCAGCAATTAAGTTGCCTTACTCACAGCTCATCAAAGCAGAGTGGTGCACATCACCTACAACTAACACTAAGGAGCATCCATATAAACACTATTAAGTCAAGTCTTGCCCTCCTCCCTAGGAAAAAAAAAAACCACACATGTACAAGGTGTCCCTGCCCATGGCAGGGGGTTGGAACAAGATGATCTTAAGGTTCTTTACAACGCAAACCATTCTGTGATTCCAAGATGACAGCAGACCTTGCCATAAAAGTGAGTTAAAAAAAGTCAGGGTAGGACTTTAAAGCAGGAAAAAACTCCAAGAAACCAAAACACTATTATGCTTTCACACAGATCCTCAGCTTCAAAAGGACAGAACAACTTCAAATCGTACACCAGGAGATTACAGGAACAGCCAGGTATGGTCCCAGGCTACCCTTACATGGAAGCTGGCAGGACCAACTGAGCTGAGCACAGATCTCGCACGTAACGGCACTGTGTGCTTTAGGAAGTACAGGTGGAGCCTCCTCATCTCATACCTAAGCAGCTGTGTCCAAACCAAAGCAGGATTTGGCAGTGTTCAAGACCAGGTTGGACAAGGCTTGGAGCAACCTGCTCTAGTGGAAGGTGTCCTTGCCCATGGCAGGGGGTTGGAACTGTATCAGCTTTAAGGTCCCTTCCAACACAAGCCAGTCTGGGATCCTGCAGTGCAGACATCCTGATTCTGCTTATGGAGAAAGCCATGAATAAAATTGCAAATTGAGTGAAAACCTGGCTAAAAATTAATAAATTAATCTAACACTTCATGAGTTAAGCTGTAATTTACTTTTTCCTGCCATGCACATTTTAACCTCTTACAAACAAGGGCTGCATGTAACCCTCTTACAACACAGTGTTAACTAACTCCTTGTAAAATACAGTTAACCCTGACCTTGCTGTGGTAGCAGCTAGTGCTAGGAGTAGATTGTTTTACTTCTACAGGATGTGACTACACCACATCCAGTTCAGACACCAAAGTAGCTCAGAAGCTGTGTGCAGCTGGTTGGGCCCCAGAGCTACTGAAGTGCAGTAACCACATCCTGTGAGTGCCAGAATAGTTAATTCTAAAGGTGTAATTTAAGGTGTTCTCAGTGCACAGAGTTCTCAATAACACAGGAGTAACACATACCTCCAGTGATACACAGGAAGGTGTTAGATACAGAAGAGGAATACAGTTAAGATTAGTATGTGGAGTGGGATGTAGTACTTCAAAAAAAAGCAACAGTAGGGTTCTCCTTGCTCAGGAACTGGACATCCCATCTTAGAAGGGGGAAGACAGAGCCAGCAGGTTGCTGACAGCAACATACTTACTGTCATCACCAACAGGCCCTGCTGAACACTGTGCTGGAGGATCACGTGCCAGGTCATTCAACTCCTGAAAAACACAACAGATGTTAGCACTAAAGCAGCTACTGGTGGCACTCCTGCTCATGACCATGAAGCTCACAATGGTGAGTTTCCCGAAACCACGACACTAATAGCCCAGGAAGCAAAGGTGCATCTTAAACCCGTGTAATACATTTGGTACGTGCCTCAGTTATCTCTCCAAGATTCCACACAGTATTAAGTCACAACAATCCTTATCAAGCCATAGGGTCTGTCAGGTTTGCTTTCACTGAAAGAAGAACTTACAAGATCCCACTATTCCCAAGGTGTTACATATCCTACAATCTCTAAGAGTGAAGATGGCCTCAATCCAACACCTCAGCATCAGCCTGATTTTATCCCCTGCCCTGGAACAGCTCTAGGGTGGCTCCAGCTCATGAACAGATGATCTCTGGGAGTTCCAGCTTCTAATTCCCAAGAATTGGGAGGTCACCACTAACCAAGCCCTCTTCTGTCACAAGACAGGAACACTGCCCCACAGCAAACAGGTAACCTCAGGATTTCCCCCTCAGTATACACTCCCCCAAGCTGTCTTGCAATAGAGATAAAGCTCCCCATGCCATGACTACTGCAGAGCAGACACAGCTTGGGTTTGCTCTCAGCAGCTCCCAACTTCTGAGAAGCCCACCTGAAAGCCTCCTGACTTGACCCCAGACTGCTGAAGCTTGCCTCATGCTCCTCCCAGTGCTGACCCAAGTAAAGCTTGCTCCCACACTTCACGGTTCAGCATGGACCTGGACAGGAGCAGACATTAAGCATGCAGCACCTGCTGAAGAGCCTCCTGAATGTGAAGAGCACTTCCAGATACACTCCAAAGAAGGAAAGTTCTTGGGAGTTGTCAGTTATACATGGCAATTCAGAGTAGCCAACATTACCTAAATAGGATCCCCTCTTTACCTCCTGGTTGCAAGTACATGGTAGCATTGAGATCACTCACAGCCTCTCACTCCCCACCACCACCTGCACACTTCACCCACTGCCCACCTCTGATTTACCTCCAGAACATTAAACAGATTATCACCCTCAGCAACAGAACGCCCTCCACCCAGAGAAGTGCATGTGCTACAGAAGCTTTTAGTCAGTGCCAGTCTTAAAAGCACACAGCAGCAGCCAGGCCTGTGCTGTGCTTCAGCAGGCCAAGAGACAGCCCACGCAGCCAGGGCAGCAAAGGAACCAGCACCCACTGACACAAGCAGCCAGCACCTGAAGGCCACACATCCCCTTCATGGGCAGTCAAGGTATGGCCACACAGGTGAGTATCCACATGCATCAATGTGGAAACATGGGTATGAAAACAAAAGCAGGAATAGCCCTGCTCCTTCTGAAGGTGTAGATAGTACAGTCCCCTTCCAAATGCAACCGACTCCAATCTTCCGGAAAAAAACAACTTAATGCTACAGTACTCAAAGCCCCAAACACAGCTATAAAACCACATCTAAACCTCCCTTCCTTACCTGTTCTCAATCCCTTCACTCCTGTTTTATGCATAAAAACACTAGACTCAGGAATACAACTAAACCTACATTTTCCATGCAGGATCACAACTTACTATGGATTATGTTTAAGAACCCAGCAGGGCCCTTCCCTACTAGCAGCTGTTGGAACACACAGCCCCAGAGCTGCCCTGACACCCTCTATCCCACTGCTTCACCAGCCCAGATGGCGCAACACACCTTCAGTGGTACCCAAGTTAAGTCTCACAACTGCAGCCAAGGTAACAATGAAGTTCAGGCAGTAGCAGACTTGTTTCTCATCAAAATACTATTTCTCTCTCTTCACTTACAGTTAGAAGGAATACTTTGGTTTCTATGGCTGCATATGACAGCTCCCTGGGAAGAGATGTCTTAAAAAATTGCACCACTTGTCTCAGTGACACTGCACTCACCTGAGGCTGCATTTCAGGTTCTGCTCTATAAATTCAGATAGTGTATTCCCAGCTTTAAGCTCCTCACATTGGAGAAGTTTAGCAACAACCCTCAATTCCAGGCCCTGCAATACAAACCCCCTTGGTTTTGGTAGAAACCAGCAACCTGGGTGACAACGTAATGGTTTAACCAGCACGAGGCACCTCTGGAGCGCAGGTACCAACCACAGCAGTGCCTCTACACACCCAAGAGATGAGCACATCACTGGAGCTCTTGCAGGGCACAGATGACAGCTTTAAGGAGCTGCTCATATGCTCACTCACCTGTCAGACCTGCAGAGCCAGGTTTCAGAGCAGGAATGGTAACTGTACAGACCCAGGCACAAACGCAGAGGAGCAGCTGGTGCTGCAGCACAGTGCCAAGCTCTTGTATCTGACAAAGAGGGCATTTTGCCTTTTGGAAACTCCTGTGCAGCTTTCAAGGTCCTGCAAGCACAACACCAGAACTGGCAAGGTCTTTGCTTCCAGAACTTGCTGGGGGACACAGAGACAAGCCGGTTTGTAACTCACAACAACTAACCCCATAGAAAAACAAGAACTCAGAATATGTTGAGGAGTCAATGACACTTTGGTATCATCTACAAACCAGCCATAAGACATTAGGCAGAAGTTCTTCCCTGTGAGGGTGCTGAGGTGCTGGCACAGGGTGCCCAGAGAACCTGTAGCTATCCCATCCCTGGCACTGTTTAAGGCCAGGTTGGACAGAGCTTGGAGCAACCTGTTCTAGTGGAAGGTATCCCTGCCCATGGCAGGGGGGTGGAACTGGATGAGCTTTAAGGCCCCTTCCAACCCAAACCAGGCTGATTCTATGATTACTACATGAATCAGATCCGAAGCTGCAAGGCCTATGCTCCGGTCAATGATCAAGTCTGATCTTGACAACACCAATTTTAAGCCAAGGCCTGAAGAAAGCCACAGCTGGTTCCATCCAGGACAGCTTCAGAGCCTTAAGCACATGAAGAAGGTTTTACTTTAGGAACTTAAAAGCGAAGACTCAAGTGGCCTTTAGCTGAAGTCTGTTTGAGCTCTCGGGTCCCAGGAGGTGACCTCACCATGAGGCTGCAAAGCCAACCTACAGAGCTCACCATTTCTGCCACCTCCCCTACAGCAAATCACCCTTGTGCTGGGCCACTGCTGCACATCATAGCATGAACTCGATCCATCTCACAGTTCAAAATATGTGTTAGTTCCTCAGCAAAAATGAGGAAGTGGAAGCAAAGCAAAGGTCAGGGTGTCTCACCCCAAGGCCAAGCTGAGTGAAACCACCATCACACCCATGAACCAGTACACTGAATGCTACATAATTCACACAAGAAACTGCTAGTTAGGTCTAAAAGCAGATTTAATTGTGTTCCTAAGTTCCTAACAAAACAAACTCCTACACAAGGCTTCCAGGAAAGCCTTTTCCTGGAATCTCATTTGGCAAACACAAAGAAGGGGGGAAACTGCATTGACAGCAGCCTTAAGAAAAAGGACTTGGAGATGCTGGGTGATGAGAAGCTCCTCATGACCCAGCTTCAGTGTGCACTTGAGCTCAGAACTCCCCCACCATGTGCTGGGCTGCATTCCCAAAGTGTGAGCTCTGGCAAGCATGAGAACGGTTGAGCATGAGCATGATTCCCAGATCATGCCACAGACCCCCTCATGAAAGGCATCTGTGAGGCCTCAGGGCACAGAGGATAGCCAGTGCCACATCTCACCCAGACCCACATCACCCTCTCCCAGCAGCACCTCCCAACAGCCAGCACATGGCATTCAAATTGTATCTTGCTCAGGTACATGCACAAGAAGTTTTTAAAGCACATGAAACACAAATATTTGAAGTCCTACTTTAAATGTTAACCCTGCACGCATTTCAGGTTATAATCAAGCTGTAATTAAGTTTTAATTGTAAACTGCAAAGCCATTTGTTGAAGAAGCTCGTTCATTCCTCCAGACAACAATTCTCCCCCATCTAACATACTCCTGGAAAAGAGCTGCTCTGGCCAGAAGATAAGGACTGGTTTTAAGGATTAAGGAATGCTAATACAGCCTTCAGAAAGAATAACTAATGTAACTGGCAACCACCAGGCAGCCTACTGAGCAAATAAAACATCAGCACCCTTTAGTAGTCAGTGGCAGCAATGCTGGGAGACAGTAGAGACCCCAGACAAAGTCCTGCACACCAGCTGAGCACCTCCAAAGAGCCAGACATTATCCAAAGGCCTTCCAGCTTAGGCTCCAGTCTTCCATCCCTACTCCAGCTTGAACTGGTTTCAAAGTGTAATTTAGTCAGGGACCACATCATTAGCTTGATTATAAGCCTGATCTTTGCCTCAGGTTGCAGCTGTAAGTGAAACAAGCTTTTAATCTGACTTCAAGTTTATCTGCCTGAAGCCCCTGACCCCCTCCTGTGAAGTGCTGCGTTACAAAATGAGGACTTCACAAACCAAAAAGGAGCTTCCAGCCACTTAGCTATGAACTGACAGCAGCCCTCAACAGAGCAGTGCCAAGCAACATGGAATCTAGGCCTTGAACCCACCACACATTCCACTCTACTTGCCAAGCTCACACCAAGGTCACACCACCCACAGGTGCTCTCCTGGTCTACAGGACTCATGTGATTCCAGAGCATCTGCATTCTAAGGCTCCTATCCCTGTGAGCAGAAGCATTTGAGTCTTCATAAAGACATTAATCCTTTCCCCTTTGACAAAATCTGCTTTTTCAATGCTTGAAATCCACTGAGTGACTTCTTTCAGGATTCTACAGAAGTCAAGGACAGAAGGTAAGTGAGCAGCACAGAAAGAATCAAACTGCATGAAATACAACAATAAGCAAGGTACAGGTTAGAAACAAGCTCTGCTGCAATTGTCACCTTTCACTTTTGCTCTGTTAAAGCCTGAACAGCAGGAAGAGCAGAGTGTAACTTCCACCTGGAGTAGAATCAGAGTATCAAATGCTTTGGCTGGCCAAGAGAAGCTCCACTAATACTCTGTGTACTAGGGACACAGAAGAAATTGGACACAGATGGGCTGCACTGGCAGCTCCCCGAACACAGCAAGAAGCCGGAACGGAAGCACCACATTGTTCCCCCTGGCTACTGTAAAGCTACAGGCACAGAAACACCACCCTGCTCGGCACAGGTAACACACATACCATCACCAGCACTGCTCAACCTACCAAACACCCTGACACAGCCCAGCCAGGGGCAGGGCTTGGATAAAGTGATGCTATAGCATCTCAGGTCAAACAGCTCTGGGATACAAGCAAGTCCATCATCTTCTGCAGTGAACAAGGACTTCTGTGGAATATACAGTTCAGTTCTGCAAAGCACTACCTGCTGTTTGGGTCTCTACATTATAAACCACCATTCCTCTGCTGCAAGTAAGGATTTTACTTCAGCAGGGCAGCAGCACGACTTCCCATGTCCTATTCCCTCTTGCTGTATAGGCTAGAGAATGGATGGAGCAGCCCCGAGAAGAACATGGGGATTTGGCTGAGAAGCTCCCCATGACCCAGCTTCAGTGAACACTTGAGCCCAGAACCCCACCGTGTGCTGGGGTGCACCCCCCCCAGAGGGTGAGCAGCAGTCGAGGGAGGGGATCCTGCTCCTCTGCTGTGCTCTTGGGAGATTCCCCCTGCAGTCCTGATCCAGCTCTGGGGCAACAGCACAAGAGGGATGTGGAGCTGCTGGAGCGAGTCCAGAGGAGGCCACAGAGATGCTGCAAGGGCTGGAGCAGCTCTGCTCTGGAGCCAGGCTGAGAGAGCTGGGCTGGGTCAGCCTGGACAAGAGAAGGCTCCTTAAGGGGAGGAGACCTTAGAGCAGCTCCAGTGCCTGAAGGGTGCCTACAAGAAACCTGGAGAGGGGCTTTGGACAAGGGCCTGTACAGACAGAACAAGGGGAATGGCTTTAACCTGCCAGAGGGGAGACTGAGATGAGCTCTTAGGCAGAAGCTCTTCCCTGGGAGGGTGCTGAGGTGCTGGCACAAGGTGCCCAGAGAAGCTGTGGCTGCCCCATCCCTGGCAGTGTTCAAGGCCAGGCTGGACACAGGGACTTGGAGCAAGCTGCTCCAGTGGAAGGTGTCCCTGCTCGTGGCAGAGTGTTAGAGCCGGATGAGCTTTAAGGTCCCTTCCAACACAAACCAGCCTGGGATTCCAGGATTCTGTCAGGTCCACCAATTTCCTACTGGGCAGCTCATAGGAGACAGTGAACTCAGATTTTACTTGCTCTCTCATTCAGTGATCTCCCAGGAGTGCCCCAGTTACCCACTGTAACTGTGGCATATCACACCAGGTAATGCATTTGCTACGGATAAGCCACATACACGGGGATGTGCTGAACCCAAATTGTTTCAGCCCAAATCCTGAAATGGAAGCCACTGGCTATGGTCCTCCAGTATCACACCCATCCTGCCCCCGCATAGCTTCTCATGGCACTTCTTATAACAGATATCCATCAAAATAGATCATTATGTATAAAAGTAACAATGAAGCTGTCCTTCACTGTTACCCCCACACTTGTGGCTGGTGTCATTACTTACACCCCAAACATTTCTCACAAGACAAGAGTCCCAAGTTTGACACCTGCAAACCAGGAAGTGCCCGAGCTGACTGCTGGAAGGCTGCAGTGAATAACACAAGCAGCATTGCAACATCAGACCTCAAGTCTTGAGCTTTTGGAGCATCTGCTTAAAGAACAGCTGCTGCTTCACGTGGACATGTCTTGAGTCTCTGGACAACCCCAAGAACAACCAGAGACACACGGGGACAGACCACAGGGCTCCTGCACACACCCCAAATACCACTTACAGCCACCAAGAACTCCTTGTCCTGCCCCTCTTCCAGCCCAGGAGAGTTCAACATGCAGGGGGCCATTTCAGGTAACACTGTATTAAATGTTTACTCTTAAGATTTTCTGCTTGTTTCCAAGTTCTCATCCCTGTCTTATCCAAGGACACAGAGTTGGGAGAAAACCTCACAGTCCATGGCCAAGCATGAAACCCAAACTGCCCCAGCACAAGAGGCAGTGGCAAGCTTGAGACCTGAACAAGGTTGACAATACCCTCTTACAGTGCCTGAGCAGCAGCTTTCCTTCCCATTGCTTCTTTGTGCTCAAGTCTACCGGGATTATTTCCACTCCATCCACATTTTGCAGGCTTTTGTTCCTGCCTCAAGGTGCAACAGCAAAGGTCAGACACTCCCCATTCCCCTGTTGTCCTGGCAGGGCTGGTCACTCCACACAGACACCAGAACAAAAACAAGAGGATACTAACCTCTCCATAGGCTTAAAATAGCTGGAGTGTAAACAGGGAGTGATTCCCACTGAAGCAGTTAACAGGCACTCACAGTAGCTCAAATTAAGAGTGCTCCTTTCTAGCCTGTAGCTTAACTCCCATCTAACTGGTAAAGCACCAGAGTAAGTGGGTTTATTTCCTTTCACGTACTTGATTGGATATGTTGCCTATAGCCTCATCACCTCCTCAACAGCCACCACACTTACTCCACTGAAACACTTGGGACTTTGCAGGGCTCCATATACACAACTGCTTTGGCAATGCTCTCGCTACTTCCCAAGGCTCTAAGCACTCTCCAAACCTCATACAGTTCCCATTATCCCTGAGGATCCTTCATCTCTCACAAGCAGCACACAACCACAGTCCACAAGAAGCCAATGGTAACAAAGACTCAACACATTCAGCTTCTCTCTTGTTCAAAGCCACAGACTAGAAACAAAAGTGATTCAAGAGTGTTGAATGCTGAACACCAGCATGCACTAAATTCTACTAAAGCAGCATTCCTGCTTCCCAATAGAAGCAGGACCCTCCCCACTAAATCCTCACACTACCCATGCATCCCCCCCCGCTCCCCCTCAGCCAAACTGATCCCCCTTCCGCAGTCATTGCAGTGTACTGAGTATCACTGATTACCAGTGTTTCAAACATGCAATACTCAGAGCACAACTTCCTTACATAACCCACTACCACACGCTCATCTGGAAACTCCAGTACACAAAAACAATACTCCAAATCCTCCCTTCCCACCTCTACCTACTCCTCAAGGAAACACAAGCCTTCAAGCTCTCCTATTTTCTTCTCCACCTCAGCTTTGAGTCAGAATGAGACACGAAGCTTCACAGAAACATCAAGATAACCTACAGGCAAAGCAAAGAGGTTAACACACAGTCCAACACTGCACACGGGGCAAAACAGAGCTACCACACTGATCTTACACATCAAGTACTGGATTCGCATCTGGTTCTAGTCCAAAACCAGATTTACACAGCAATGGAGACCAGAAACCCTCTGACTAGGCTGATGGCTACACCTGAACCTGAGAGGGAGACTCCAAACAGACAGCTACACGTTTAGTGAAGAAGAGGATATAAATTCCCTGCCTGACTCACCATGGCAATGGAAGTGTACTGCAATAACCCTCTTTTGCCAGGTAGGAGACAGAACGATGATGGAGCAAAGTACAGTTTTCAGTCCTCAAGGGGCTCAGCAGCAGCGCTGTCCTGAGAGAGGCAGACACTAACCAACACCCTCCTGCTCCTCGCCTGCCTCTCCCTATGAGCCTCCAGCTGACTCCGGCTGTGGAGCAGCACCGGCTCCATTGAACACCAAACCGCACCGCTGCGACCGGCGGTGACAAGCTCTGCGCTCCCCGAGGAGGGAAGAGAAGGCCCTTCCACCGCGGAGCTCCCGCCCTGGCCACGCCAGAACATGCAGCGCGGGCGGGTTCCCGCTTCCCGGGCTCCTCCTCCGCTGTCCCCACGCGTGTCCCGCTCCCCGCACCGACACCCCCCCACCCCCCCACCCGCTTCCCCCTCGCCGCAGCAGCTGCCGGCGGCCGCTGCCCACCCCCAGGCCCCGCCACCGGCGCCCCCTCGCGGCCCCAGGCCCGGGGGCCACGTTGCTTCGGAAGGGCCCGACCGCGGCCTCTCGGCGACTGGGGCGGGAGTGAGGCGAGCCCCGGGGCAAGGCCCCGAGAGAGCTGGGGGGGAAGGGGGGGGGGGGACCCGCACACCCCCCCCCCCGGGCCCACAGCGCTGACGGGAGCCGGGCGCTCCCCCCTCCATCAGGCAGGCCCGACGGGTCCCCGCGCCTCTGGGGGAGGGCCCGGCCTGGCCTTTCCCCCGCCACCAGCTCATCCTGCGGGCCCGGGGCGACGGCGGCGGCCGTGCCGGGTTATGTAAGGCGGACGCGGGTGCGGTGCGGGCGGCGGCGGGGCCCAGCCCGGCCCTCCTCTTACCTTGTGGATTCTCTTCAGCGCCATTGTGTGCGCGAGGCGGCGAGGAGGGGCGGGCGGGGAGGGGGCAGCCGCGGGGACTATTTTCCGAGGGGGAGGGGGGGAAGGAGGAGCGCGGAGGTGGCGCGGATGAAGAAAAGAGAGGGGGAAAGAGGAAGAGGGAAAGGGGGGAGGGGAAGGAAAAAGAGAAGGGGGGGAAGGGAAGGAGGGGGAAGGGGCCCCCCCGGAGGCGGCGGCGGGCGGGGGCCTGCGGCGGCCGGGGCTGGCGCGCTGCTCCCTGGCCGCTGCGCTGGAGCTCGGTGCCGCAGCTCCTACCGCATCCCTCCGCCGACCCTTTATGCGCTGGCGCCTCCTCTTTGGCCTTCCGCGTATCACTCCGCCGCGGCGCACCGACCCCCGCCGCTCTCTGCTGCTGCTCGTCGACGGCGCAGAGGCCGCCGTAAAGACCGGGGCGGAAGCGAACCGAGGCCGGGGCGGGATCGAAAGGGGAGGGACAGGCAGGAGAGAAGGAGGAGCGGGGGGAATAGGCACCCGGGGAGTGGGACTATTTTGCCGGCGGCCGCCGTGCAGAACTCTCCAGAAGGGGGAGGGGGAGAACGCGGAAGGATACGACGGCGGTGGTGGCTGTGGCGTAGACGCCACGCTCATGACGGTGGCTTCTCGCGAGAAGACGGGGCGGGAAGAAGTTCCGGCCGCGCCGCCGCTGTGGGGATGGCCTGGGGGGGCCCGGCCCTGGTGGTCAGGCGGGGCTCAGCGGCCCGGGTACGGAACCGCCCCGGGAGATGGGGCCCAGGCCGCAGACCCCCTTCAAGTGCCATGGGGTTATACACAGGGTGCCCAGAGAAGCTGTAGCTGCCCCATCCCTGGCAGTGTTCAAGGCCAGGTTGGACACAGGGGCTTGGAGCAAGCTGCTCTAGTGGAAGGTGTCCCTGCCCGTGGCAGGGGGTTGGAGCTGGAGGAGCTTTAAGATCGCTTCCAACCCAAACCAGTCTGGGATTTGACGAATTCATTTTTAGGCCTGGGAGGACACATGGTCAAAGCACATCAAGTAGGCCATGGCATGGCTGTGTAATAAAGCTTTAAGCTATCACACATGCTTAAATTGTGACGGATCTCCAGTGCCACAACCAGTGTGGGGTGAAGAGCACGAAGCTCAGTACCCATCAGGCAGCATGGAGGGAGTTCAAGGCTCTCCAGCAGCAACAGCACCAATAGCCGTGGTGAGCAGAGGTTTCTTCCATCCAGGTCATTTCCATCCAGCATCTGCATGGAGAAACCCCATGGGCAAAACCAACAACTGTTCTGAGGTGACTGAGCAGCTCATGGCAAAGGGACTTCATCCAGTGGTAATCCTGATGGGTACCAACAAGCTGAAGGGTTCTGTGCAGCCCTAGTGAGCCCCTGAGCCTGTAACCATGTCCTCTTTGTGTAACTGCACTGTCAGAGTGTGATAACTGCCATGAACAGTCAGCTCAGAGCAAAGGGCAGCTTCCCTCCAGGTCTGAATCACAGAAACCAGTGAAGGAGGCTGGGAACAGGACGCTGCTTGGGCTAAGGAGTGCACCCAATCAAGCAGGGTTGTTCAGGCTGACAGCCAAACTGCCTGCACATACACACACCCATGGGACATCTTGTAATAGCAAGATGTTTTCAAGTCTACATCAAATGAGGGCTGTTTCTGTTGCTCCTGCTTCTCTTCCTGTCGCCAGCTTTGGATCATGAGATGGATCATGGGACTTGCCCTCCATCCTGGGCTTGTGGTGGGCTTCCAGTCACTTCCAGGTTGGCAGTCCTACTACCAGGGCAAGTAGGAAAATGCCAAGAGCATTTTTAATCAGGATTGGAAGATCAGACTTCCCCAAAACCCATCCAGTTTTATTCCTTTACAGGGAAGCCTGGTTTTCTATGGATTTCCCTCTTGTGTAGCTAACATTTTTAGTGGATTATACTGTTTCTCTGTTACTACCAGTCTTCCCCTCACCTGGTACTGCAGCAGGGTTAATTTTCACTGTTCTTGTCAATCTCACACCTTCTGTGCATCTCTTGGCAGAGAAGGATGAAAGGCTCAAACAGGAGGCTTTAGAGGCTGGTGTCTTTAGCATAGGGTGTGTTTTGAGTTAATTTCTCTGTTCTCCTTCACACTTGGTATGGAGAAAATAAATCGCTGATTCATAAAAATGGTTTTTGGGGTGGTGTGTGCTTCAGTTACTTTTGTGCTTTCTGGCTTTTTCCCCTTCTGTCACCTTTTGAGTTGCTGGACACCCCTTGGTTGCAGAAGAGCAGAGAACAACCACAAGGAAGGCTGCTGTCCTTCCCAGCCACACCAGTCTCCACCAGTATGGGGAGCTGGAAATGCTCAACGCTAACCCCAAGTAGTCCTGGCCCTTACTGCTCCCCCAGTCTTGGGACAGAGACAAAACTGCTTTTCTTCCAACGTTTTTGTATAATCCCAGGCAGCTTTAGGTTGGAAACCTTAAAGCTCACCCAGTTCCAACCCCTGCCACAGGCAGGGACACCTTCCACTAGAGCAGCTTGCCCCAAGCCCCTGTGTCCAGCCTGGTCTTGAACACTGCCAGGGATGGGGCAGCCACAGCTTCTCTGGGCACCCTGTGTCAGCGCCTCAGCACCCTCACAGGGAAGAGCTTCTGCCTAAGAGCTCATCTCAGTCTCCCCTCTGGCAGGTTAAAGCCATTCCCCTTGTCCTGTCCCTCTCATTTTCTACTTTCTCTTGTTAGGACATCCTCCCACCTACTACCTTTCTCTCTGCTTCTCTTCCACCCCACCTCCGACTTTTCCAGGTATCCTCCTGCAGGTTTCAGTCTCTTCCCACCCCTTCCCAAACAGTCCGATTGACCCATATGCACTTTTCTTTACCCTACATGAGCTCATATCCTGGTCCTCTTCTCCAAAAGGTTGAGCTCTGCTCCCCAGCACCAGAGAAGGTGCTCGGGGCTACATCTACTGTGAGAATTCCTGGCTGTTCCCCATCCATAGCAGCCCCTGCTGCAGATAAAGCACTTATTGCTTAGGCAGGGGCTGCCTCTCCATGCTGATGGCTACTGGCCCCTCACCCTGTACCTAAACTGGCATTTCAGGAGGCATTTCACCTGCAGCTCTGCCTTTACTCTCTCAGCCTGAAGAGCCAGGGCATTGCGGGATCTTTTGTCCCCAGCTGTGCTCTGCTCTCTGTGCCTGCCAACATCATTCTGTGCCAGCATCACCCGCTACAAACCAGCAGAGCATCACTGGAGGAGTTAGCTCAGTCCTGCCTTATCCTCACATGCCTCCATGTGTCTTTCCTTCACCATCTTCCTCTGAGCAGCTCTGCTCCACAGGGCCATCTTGCAGTGCTGTATGAGGAAAAAAGACTTAGGCATGGTTAGGCAAAGGCTCAAGAACTCAAAGGAGTGCAAACAGCCCAGCCTCACTGGCTAAATCTGATGTCCCTAGACTTTACCAACCAATGAGGCCTTTGTTAGACAGTGAACAAAGCTAAAGGAGGTAAAACACAGGTGGAAATGGAAGGATCCCACACTTAACCACTGTTTGGTGCTTCTAAGCTCCAAAGAGAAAAATTCCCAGAACAACAGAGCTGGAGCAGTGGAGAAAGTGAAGGGTTAGGGAGAAGAAAGCTCTGCCTCTCGGGGGACAGCAGAGGACCTGCTCCCCTTCCTTGCCTCCAGAGCTGCTAAACCTTTGTGTCTTTCACAGAGAAGCCACTTTTCCCCTTGCTGGTTGGTGCTCCTGCCAGGAGCAGCTGTCTCCAGAGCAGAGCTGCTCCAGCCCTCTCAACATCTCCGTGGCTTCTGAACTCACTGCAACAGCTCCACATCCCTCTTGTGATGTTGCCCCAGAGTACATCTGCTACTCTGGGTCTGTGGCCACCAGGACCGGGCATCCAAGAGGCTGGAGGGCCTTACTGACCAGCAAGAGCGTGGCTGCAGGGAGCTCCTGCTGTGCTGCAGTGTCCATGGCCACTGCCTCCTGAGTCAGTGCCTCCCGGAGCTGTGTGTGCACTGTGAGTCCCCCTCTCTCCAGAAGGAATTTGCTTCTGTTTCACCCCTGGAAACCTGCTGCACTCAGGAACTTAAATCTCCATCAATTCTTGTGCTCTTCCTTACTGCAGCTTGGCTCAGCCCTGCTGTGACCTGACAGGTATGTTCAGGCTTCCCAGAAGTCACGTTTGAAACCTGCTCCATGCACCAGTGCCTGGGTTTCCTGAGTGCTGTGTATGGGCCGCAGAGTGGGAGGGCTCTGCAGGTTTGATTGCTCCTTTCATTTTCATTTTCCCTGGTGCTGGGAAGTGCAGTTCCACTTGGGGCACCACGAGCTTGCTAAGGCGCTCCAGGTCTTTGTGTGCAGCAGCAGCCACCCAGGCTGGAGCACAGCCCATGAACCCGGGTGCAGGAAGCCCAGGCAGCAGCTGGTAGCGGCTGAGGTGAGTACAAGAAGCACTCACTGCTCCCCCAGGCCCTGTGGCTGCAGAGCAGGAAGAGCTGGCATGAGGATGAGATTTGGGAGTGGGGTGGCCACCCAGGCCCTGCTTGCCATGCCCATTTGGGCACAGGGAGCTGCCCTGAGCAGCACAAAAGGGAACCTACCCTAAAGCAACTGCATTTCAGCAGTATGGAGAGGGCTCTGTTGCAAGCTTTGGGGTGCTCAGTGAGCGCTGGATGTTCGTGTGTCCCCCTTCTCCACTCCCCACAGTGGGTGCTGGGGACAGCGGTCACTGCTGACCCCTGCTCTCTGCCGCAGATGTCTCAGGGACCGTGGCGGCCTCAGCACCACAGCACCCTGTTCATCCCCAGGGCGCGGGGAAGCCGAGCACAGGGCGCCGTGTACCTGCTCCTGGCTGTGTGTGCCGCAGCGCTGTACCTGACCGGGGAGCCCCTCGTGCCCACCGCCCGCAGCCTCACCTGCCACTTTCTGGCCCTGCAGATCGGGGTGCTGCTCAAGGGCACCTGCTACCTGGCAGAGGAGATCTTCCACCTCCAGTCCAGGTGAGACAGTCTGGCAGGGGTTCCATCCCAGGCCTTCAGGGCCACCCTCTGGACGCTGGGGAGGCATCTGTCCCTCTCTCCCACTTGTGCCCTCTGTGGCATCGGTCTGCTGAGCCCCAGCAGCACACACTGCTCTCCATCAGCCTGCTATCTCTCTCATCTTCCTCCCTTTCTTTCCCCATCTCCTAACTGCCCAGCTCCCATCCAGCATGGACCTGACCTTTCCTCTCTTCTCCTCTCCTCTGGTAGGTCCCCAGTGTGCCCTTCCCCTGTGTAAGACCTCAGCCCCCAGCCTCTGCCTACCACTCTGTACTGGTGGGCGTGGAACTGTTGGAGATACTCTTCCCTTGCTGTCCAGTGTGACACTGCATCTGCTCGTGCATAGGTGCTGCAAGTGACCCAAGCTCTGTCAGGGCTGGAGGCACCCGGTGTACACTGAGCAGGGTCTCACAGGGCTCCAGAAGTCAGCAGCACTGGCAGGGAGTGGGAGCATCCCCTGGCCAGTGCCCCATGTGCTGCAGTGGCTGCTATCTCCTGTCTCCCTGTCCCCTGCAGGCACCGCGGCAGCTTCTGGAGGGTGCTGAGCGCCTGCTTCCCGCTGCGCTGGCCCACACTGCTCCTCTGCACCTTAGCATATGTGTCTCTTCTCGATGAAGACAGGCAGAAGCTTGGCCTCCACCTCAGCCTGGCTGCCCTGTGCCATCTCCTCAGCCTCACCCTGGGGCTTCACGTAAGGCACCACACCTCTGACCTGGCTGACTACCCAGGGAGCACTTTGAGCCCTAAGCAGTGGTGGGGGCACAAGGCCCAGGTCTGTGCAGCCCCTGCACATACAGCCCATCCACGTCCTGCCCCACAGCAGGAGAAACACTCTCATCAGCTCGGCCCTGAAGGGCTGATCTCCTCAACCTATGCTGCCATGCTATAGGCAGGAGTTGCCAGGCTGCCTTTGAATGAGCACAGCCCTGCCAGGGTGCTGGCAGCAGCCCTCAACAGCCAGAGCCCCACTGACACAAAAACCCAGGTATTTTTTAATGTGCCAGTCAGGATGGTGCTTGAGGGAAAGGGTGGCTCTGTGGTGTCCAAAGGGTTCATTACAGGAGTGGGGTGTGGGCAGAGCCAAACTCCAGGTACCTCTTCAGCACTCCAGGGCTCTGCTTTACCCCAGCTGAGCTGGATGGGGAGAGGGATCATGTGGGTTCAGAAAGGTGTTTTGGGGACGGAACACCCATTTCCACCTAAATCATAGACTCACAGAATCAGACTGATTTGTGTTGGAAGGGACCTTAAACTCATCCAGTTCCAAACCCCTGCCACGGGCAGGGACACCTTCCACTGGAGCAGCTTGCCCCAAGCCCTGTCCAACCTGGCCTTGAACACTGACAGGGATGGGGCAGCCACAGCTTCTCTGGGCACCCTGTGCCAGTGCCTCACCACCCTAATGAACACACAGAGCTGGCAGGAGCCACTGGTGGCCCTGGAAAACCCACTATCAGGTGGTGGAATGTCCCCTCTCAGATGCTGGAAACACTGGGCAGAGCCACAAATTGCACTGGGACACACAATCCCGATTGATGGTGCAGCCAGAAACATGCCCAAGTTGCCCCAGCATCATCTGCCACATGTGCAGGGGCTGTGGTGGTGGAAGGGGCTGCAGGGAGCTCACCACTGGATCAATTTGTTCCCAATCCCTGCAGAGAACCAAGCATTGCAGAAGAGCCCAGGTGCTGCTTTCACCACACTTGCTCTGTCTTTGTTCCCTCTGCAGAAGCCCTCAGCAGTGGAGGTGTCTGAGATGTCCGAGAGGTCCAAGCAGAACGTCGCTCATGGGCTTGCCTGGTCTTATTATGTTGGGTACCTAAAAATAGTCCTGCCACGTACGTACCTGTTTCCCTGAATTATCATGCCTAGAGATAGAAAAAGCTCCTAATAACAATCCTCCCACTTTTAGTGTTAGCAGGGAAATGGGGAACAAGGCAGAAAGAGCTGGACTCACACCAGGCCCCTCTGCCGCATGCTCTCTTCCACCAGGGCTGCAAAAGTCAATGGAGGAATTCAGCAGAGCCAACCCCAGCGTGCTGTCATGCAGGGAGACCTGGAAGCTCCACATCTTGGTCCCTCTGAGCTGTGATGTCTGTGATGACCTGGAGAAAGCTGACAGCAACATCCAGTACCTGACAGACCTCATGGAAACCACTCTGACCCGAGCTGGCACCAAAAACAGGGTCTACAAACACAGCCTCTATGCCATCAGGGATGAAGATAACAAGGTATTGAGTGCAGCGTCAGGCCAGTGGTCAGCATGCATCAGCCCAAAGGTCCTGGCCTAGACCCTGGCCCAGAAGCAGCCATAAGGGCAGGACAGTGTCCCCTCTTCTCTTAGACATGCCCAGCTTTCAGCAGGCTTCTGTGAGATGGAGAGGTCCTGGTCAATGAAGCCCATCTGCACACATTCCTGCTGACTGCCTCCTCCCAGGATCAGCCCTTTCAGGGATGTTGGGCTCACTTAACTCCTCCTGGAGCACATGTGAGTCCAGAAAGCAGCAGAGACCAGAGCACAAAGCAGCAGCTGTGGGGTACAGAGCAGCACTTCCCATGGGACAAGTGAATATTTTTGTTGTGAAGACGTGCTTGAAGATGTCTGTGTGAGTCATTACATCATTTGACTCCCAATGGCCCAGTCACCTCTTTTTCAGGCTGATAAGCCCTAAATCCCTTCATCTCACACTGCACTCATCTCCTTCCACATCTCCAGGCAGTTGGGCCTCTGTGGAGGAAGGAACACTGGTCTTGCTGACACAGCCATGGATCGAAGTGTTGGCAGAGCAATGCTTCCCAACTGGGTCCCCCTAATTGGCCTTTTGCTGGTGCCTGAGCACTGAGTTGCTGCCTGCAGGGGCTCCAGAGCCACTTTTCTATCCCTGCTTCTGGGAAAGTGCACTCAGCATCAGGCTTTTCCTGCCACAATGCACACACTGATGCTGTATTTCATCTGCCAGCCTCCTGCTGAGTCACTCGCCTCCAAGTGAGCTCCAGCAGCTCTGCAGCCTGGACCTGTCCCGACTCTCTGTGTGCTGTCAATAAAACCCACACCTTGGCACCAGCACTGGGTCACTGGGGCATCTCCCTCCCAAAGCTGGAAGCTCTTTCTACAATTTACCCAGGCATCCCTTCCCTCTTCATTCTAATACTTTATTAAGCTTTCCAGTTTACCCAGTATAAGACTTACTGGCAACCCTGCTCCTCCTTGGAATTCTTATGGCCTTAAAAAATCTCATTTGTTTGATCAGCCTCCTAGCTGTGCATTCATCTTGCCAGTGTTTATCCTCTTCTCCATTCTCCTGTGCTCCATTAGGAGGCTCAGACTTCCACTTGTCCAGCAGAGAAGCCACAGAGAAGGTGTGATCAGACAGTTCCAAAATCCTGCCACAGACAGGGACACCTTCCACTAGAGCAGCTTGCTCCAAGCCCCTGTGTCCAACCTGGCTTTGAACACTGCCAGGGATGGGGCAGCCACAGCTTCTCTGGGCACCCTGTGCCAGCAACTCAGCACCCTCACAGGGAAGAACTTCTGCCTAAGAGCTCGTCTCAACCTCCCATTAGTCCAGCACACAGCACCAGGGCAGGGCAGGTTGCTGCTGAGGTGTCTTGAGGGTTCTGCCCAGCACCAGCGTCCCCTGGCAGCCCTTTGCTGGGTGTTTGGCTCTCCTGCCCTCATGTCTTTTTCTTCCTTCCCTTCAGCTCTGGCCCTGTGCAGTGGAATATGCCACCCCACTGCAGTCCCTCTACGCCATGTCCCAGGATGAGTGTGCTGCCTTCAGCCGGGAGGACCGCCTGGAACAGGCCAAGATTTTCTACAGGACCTTGGAGGAGATCCTGAAATGCTCCAAGGAGTGCGCGGGTACCTACCGGCTCATTGTCTATGAGGGTGAGTGAGGAGGCAGGAGGGTGCCCACATGGTGGCTGTGCTCTCCCAGCCCTTGAGTGAAGTCAGATCAGGGCAAACAAGGGGAAGTGGGCCATGGAGGTGCTGCGAGGGCTGGAGCAGCTCTGCTCTGGAGCCAGGCTGAGAGAGCTGGGCTGGGTCAGCCTGGACAAGAGAAGGCTCCTTAAGGGGATACCTCAGAGCAGCTCCAGTGCCTAAAGGGGCTGCAGGAAACCTGGACAGGGGCTTTGGACAAGGGCCTGCAGGGACAGGACAGGGGGAATGTCTTTAACCTGCCAGAGGGGAGACTGAGATGAGCTTTTAGGCAGAAGCTCTTCCCTGTGAGGGTGCTGAGGCGCTGGCACAGGGTGTCCAGAGAAGCTGTGGCTGCCCCATCCCTGGCAGTGTTCAAGGCCAGGTTGGACAGGGCTTGGAGCAGCCTGCTCTAGTGAAAGGTGTCCCTGCCCGTGGCAGGGGGCTGGAGCTGGATGAGCTTTAAGGTCACTTCAATCCAAACCTGTCTGGGATTCTGGGAGTCCGGGAGTCCAGGAGCGACAATTTCCCTCTCATCTTCCTTTCATTTCCCTTCTCCACACCTCCAGAACAGCAGGGACTGACAACAGCTTTGTCCTTCTTGCTGAAGTGAACCTCATTCTTTTTCAGAGGAAATTCAGGTCTCTCCCTGAAGGGGAGAAGCATTTCTATTCAGCGAGCTAGTTCCCACCACAACATGGTGCCTTGTATTTCACTCTCCTTCCTATACTTTGTCTTTTAACTTCTCTCTTCTGACAAGCTGAAAGGAGGAAGCAAGAACCATGTTTTGACTTCCCAGGGAATCCTGTGTATGCAGAAACTGCTCTCTGCTCACCCCCCTGTCTTGGGCTGACCAGTGAAAGTGTGTTCTCTTTCTGTTCCAGAGTCAGGAGAAGCAGAGCCCCATTTCTTGTCCAGAGAGATCCTGTGGCACCTCCAGCAGCAGCACTGTGAGGAGTACACAGTGCAGGAGGAGAACATCCCCCACACCCCATCCACCACCCTCGACTCAGCAGAGCTCAGCCTTCAGATCAGCAGCTCAGACCTGCCACAGGCACTGCGAAGTGATGGCTTCTAAAGCACCTAAAGCACTGCCCAGCCCCACACCGTCCCCTAGGGCCTGCCCCAGCCCCTTTCTCCTGCAGCAATTGCTGCCCATGGCAGTGAGCCCCAGCCTCCTGCAGGAACTGCCCACCAAAGAATTCTGTGCATCATGGTTACTGGAAACTGCTGCCTCAAACCACAGCCCTGTGACACGCTTTCTATCTTCATTATGTCCATCTCATATAGTCATCTGTGAATGTTTGGGTTTGGTTTCAGTCTGCTTTGATTTGTGTCATATAAAGCATTTTCCTCTGGGCAAATTGTGTTAATCCTAATCTCCGGTATGATGTGCAGCCTGCCCTTGGTGATCCTGTGGTGCTAGATAGGGCTTTGGAAATCCCAGCCATGAGTGTGGATGTGTGTGCTGGGTCCAATACGTCCTTCCACCCTGGCTTCACTAATCTCATGGTTGCTGCAGGCACAAGGACTACATGCAGGACTTAAGGGCACTCTCCAGCCTGATGAATCCACTGTGTGCTCAATTCCACCCATTTGGGATGTGGAGGACTGACACTGTCTTGACAACTGGTGGTCCAAAATGCCAGAAACTTTCCTGCCTTTGCTCCATCCAGTAATTTCCATGCCCACATTGCTCCCAAGCACCCCAGAGAAGTGTTTCTCCAGGCCCAAAGGACTTGCCAGACCTCTGGAGCTCTGGGAAAAGTGCAGGGTGCAGTCCTGGGACAACATTCATGGGGGTTTAGGTGCAAGATAACCCATGTCTGAGCTGCTCAGCCCTCTGTGCTTGAGGGTGAGATGTCCCCAACAAGTCCAGCAAGGCAGGCCCTCCCTAACTATTTGGGCCTCAGCTGGTCGGGCAGAAGCAGGACAGGGGACAGAACCTGCTCCAGAGGGACTGCCAGGGCCAAGGAAGTGGCCAAGAAACACAGTCCCCGTGGTCAGCTGCTGCCAGAAGCCTTCCCAGCTGGGGAGACAGCAAAATCCCAAAGGGGCTACAGGAAACCTGGAGAGGGGCTGTGGACAAGGGCCTGTAGGGACAGGCCAAGGGGAATGGCTTTAACCTGCCAGAGGGGAGACTGAGATGAGCTCTTAGGCAGAAGCTCTTCCCTGTGAGGGTGCTGAGGCGCTGGCACAGGGTGCCCAGAGAAGCTGTGGCTGCCCCATTCCTGGCAGTGTTCAAGGAAGGTTGGATGGGGCTTGGAGCAAGCTGCTCTAGTGGAAAGTGTCCCTGCCAGTGGCAGGGGGTTGGAGCTGAATGAGCTTTAAGGTCCCTTCCAACCCAAACCAGTTTGGGATTCTGTGATTTCAGCCACTGGTGAGACAACTGCAGTTCCTTATGCATCTCCTAAACTTTCCTTCCCAGGATAAAACTGCTCTTAGCTGGCAGCTGCCCCTCAGCACAGCACCCCAGGTGAGTATCAGCCACATGCATGTGGCAGAACATGGTGGGAGATGCCTCTCCCCAGCTCCAAGCTTTCAGAGGAGATTTGGCTGCATGTTGGTCCTGCTGGGAGTGGGAATTGGAACCCATTTCAGGACTCAGTAAAACCTTAATCTGCAGCATAATCCCTGGGCACTGCATCTGTGCAGGAGACAAAACCGGCAGATGCAAGGGCTGTTAAGGGAGGGTTTGTGACAGCAAAGACCAAGAGCCAGCTCCTTTCAGCCCGGTGGCTTGCAGAGGTGATGGGGATCTTTGCCAAGGCCTCCAGGATGTGCTGAGTGCCCGGTCCTGCATTGGCCAGAGAGGGAGAGGGGAAAACTGCTGCTGCAGGGGAGGGACCTCCTGCTCCTGGTAGGAGACACATACCCCGGGGTGCAGGGAGCAGAGTGATGCTCCTGAGGGGACAGGGCATGGTCCTGATCCCCACATCCTGTTTCGGCACAGAGCTAACGCTGTGGGTACCTCCTGAGACTCAGGATAAACATGTGGCATCAGGGCTGAGCTCAGAACACAGGAACAGCCAGAAGCAGCAGCGTGGTCTTGCTGAACATCTTCCTCCAGCACTGCTCCAGAGCCTGTGTAGCTCTTCCCTTCCCTCAGGATGAAGGAGAAGCACCAGGGAGCAGCAGACCCACACCCCAGCCAAAGGCAGGGAGCAGCAATGCCACCACAGCTCAGTCAGGTGAGCTGAGCAGGTCCGAGGTCCATCACCCAGTAACAGGCAGGTCCACAGTCAAGTTCCCAGGGGATGTTCGGGTGAGCGAGGCACAGAGTGAGGCACAGCATGGCTGCACCCTCCCTGCAGCCAGGGCTGAGCTGGGATGCCAAGGACAAGGCTTCTCACACCCTTTCCTCACATCTTTGCTGTTCTTCCACCAGGCTTTGTTAGTACCATTCAGATGTAAAGCCCAGCTCCTGCTCATTTGCAACCAAAGGACCAGGCCTAGGCATCCTTTCTGAAGCATGCTTTGCTCTTTCCTCCTTTTGGGGACAAGAAATCACTATTAACTGCCTGTAGCAATCCATCCTGCTCTACACAGCAAAGAGCCTTATTTTTTAACCTCAGAGTGGCTGATACGTGTGTTGTCTCCAAGCCCCACTGCAGAGAAGCCGCTTGGGCTTTTACCATGAAAGACAAAGTGACCAGTTCTGCACGACATACATGTGCCTGTTACAAGAGTGTCTTTACTCCTGCACTTGTATGTCTTCCCCTTTTCCTGGGATGAGAAGCCAGAAGTGCAGCCTGACCTGCCATATGCGCAAATACAGCAATTGTCTGGGTCAGGCAGATGGGGAAGATGGAGAAAAAATGGTCTGAATTTGTGGTTTTTGAATGGTGAATTTAGGAATTATGGAGTTTGCACCCCCCTTACTGCCAAAAATCCCTCTGAACTCTCTCTCTGGAAAGATGTGTGTATTATCACTGCACTGGAAGACCCAGAAATTTTCAGGCTGACTCCAGCTACATGGACTCTCAGTTCCATGTACAAGACAGGGATGGAGCTCAAAGCTGCCATGCCCTTGTTAGGTTGAGGATGCAAAGTGCTTTTGGCTCAGGAGCCATTTCCATCCCACACGGCCATGGTGGGAGGCAGGAGCACTGGGCACTCATCACGAGCCTGGTGTCAGCACATGAGCATCCTTTTGGGAGGGTGAACACATTGTGCAGGAGGCTGCTGAAAGCAGAGCAGCACCTCTAAGAAGTCCCTTTGTGACTCTGGATCACAAAGACTAGAAAGGAGAGCTCTTCTGCTTCCATTTTACTGCTGGGTTTGGGGCTGAGAGGTCAGTGTCTGTATAACTACTGAGCAGGTCCCTGTAAATATAGGCACCATCATCAGTGCTAATTTCAAGAACTATTGGCAATTAAAAGATGCCTCACAGCATCCAGCTTCCTGCTTCTTTAAATGGCACAAAACCAGTGATGGAGCATCAGCAGAGACATTTCCCTCCTGGTTTTAATCGGCTGCTTTGGAGAATAAGGAATGGTCTCATGTGACCACAGTAGTGACTGCATCGTTTGCTGTGCCCCTGCTCTGGCATGCTCTGTGTGAGAGGCACAATCGTTTGGGAGCAAAAACCATCATCCAGCTCTTCTGGGAAATATCCTCCATATTCGTGCTGGTTTGTGATGGATGCTGGCACCTCAGACCTACAAGTGTTTTGTGTTGCTTCCGATCCAGTGCTAAACAGCAAGAAAACTGTAGAGACCTTTTGTTGTTCAACAACAAACTGCGGCCTTTATTGCCAACTGGTACCTTCAGTCTGGTGACTCCTCTCGGCTGGCTTCACACCTGACGTTCCTCTCGAACATGTCTAGTAAAACCGCATCTTCTGCTTGTGAGGTCGGTGACTGGTCCACCCTTCATGAGGAACCAGCTCCCTGAGCAGCAACCACCGTTCAACAGGGCTGTGCTGCCCTCAAGTGTTGCTTTTTAACCACATCCCAGTTCTCAGCCTGCACCAAGTTGTGCTTTTCCGGTTTTATAGTTGTGCTCCAAGAAAGGCCCTTAATTCACACCAAGTATTCTCATTTCACCTTTCGTGTAGAAGTCCTGTTTGAAAAGTGGGTTGGTGTGAAAGGCTGAGGGAAATGCCTCACTCATGCCTAGTGCTACAACTTCTCATGCTGCAAAGCAAAGCAGACAGTGCTTGGGATGTCAGTGAGGGATGGACTCACATCTCTTGGATTTATACTGGCTAGGAGTTAACTGCCTCTGCTTCCTGCTGCAACTGCTACTGCCTCCAAGGTCCCTTTCATTGCCTCTTCCCAGTGGCTCAGTGTGAGCAGGGTAATACCTGCAGGGAATGTGCCTAAATTCAAGTTAATATATAAACATATATATTATACATAATTATAGCATTATATATTGTATTATATATAATAGTATGTATTTTATATATACTTTAAATGAGCACCAGCAGCAGTCCAGAAGCCCTCACAGGGCTGTCTCAATGATCGTGCATGCTGCCTGGTTTAGCGCACAGTTCTGCCTGAGAAGTCACACCTTCAGACCCTTAAGCCTTTACATCCATTGGGATAACATATATGTCAACCTCTATATCCCGATTTCTAATTAAAGTCAGCCAAGCATCTGAAATCTTCATTTCAAACGTGCACTTCTCATTCCTGCCTCTAGCTCTGTAGCGCCTGTTTCCCAAGCTGGAAGTGCTGCAGTTCACGTCTCACTGGCATCTTCTGCGATGTGTTAGATGTGGTCCCCAGCACAACTGTGAGGTGCTTAGGTCTCACAGAAAGGGGAACAGACAATGGGAAAACAACCTAAAGCCCCAACAGGGGATGAAGGGTTAATCTGGGGTGCCAGGCTGGGTCACAGTTGGCTCAGGGGTGCACAGGGTGCCTTCTAGTGGCAGTTCTTTACTAACCCAAGCCTCTTAGCAGAGAGAGAACTGCAGCTCCAGTCTTTAGGTAGTAACTTGAAGGTTTTAGGGGGTCACTTTTGTCCTTTCCTCATCCCCAGTGGTGCTGGGGTTTGCAGGAGGAGCAGGAGCCAGCCCGCTGCTGCCACCACCACCGAGTGTCCCCATACCCAGCCAGTGTGGCTCGAAGCTGCTCAGGGCAGGAGTGACGCTGCTGACCATGGATCTGTGCCCAGCCAAAGGGCTCTGACATCCGAGCTGCTGTGACCGTAGAGGAAGGAGCCCCCAGAGGTGCCTGCGCAAACACATCCTGCTCCCGGAAGGAAAGGGAGAGAATGAGGGTGGGACGTGTTGTCTCCTTTTCCTGTGTCTGGTGCTGCCCCTGGGCTGAACACTGCCTCATGAAGCCAGGCACTGTTACTTCTTTAGCAGGAAAGAGCCAGGCGCCATTGCCTCCACCTCTTGCTATTGGGC